ACTCAATAGCCTCAAGGTTGACAGCATTGACGTTACAGGCAGAGTACTGTAATTAACGGAGATGCACGTTCTGTTCCCTGTTAATTGTTGTTGTCTTGAACTGTAAACCTTATCTGCGTACTCTATAGAGATTAGGATTTTCGCTTGTGCGTGGATGTCACCCCTATTGGACAAATCGTATATCCCACTCGACAAGGCAATAAGGTTCTCACCAAGCTTGAAAACAACTCTACATCTTATCTCATCTCTACTACTGCCTATAAGATGAGTAAGCGAAACGAGTGATGACAATTCTGATTGAGTTTCTTACGAATGCACTCTGGAGAATGTAGATCATGTAAACAAAGATCGGAGAAATTGAAAGGCCCGATTGCGCTCCGGAATGTTTCAGTCGAATGTCTTTCAGATCCATTGATAAACAGAACTTGTGTTAGTAAAGCGGATATTTGCTAAGGAAAATGGTTAATTCGGTGGTATTGAATTGCGCTTTGGCGATCATGACGGGATCTACAGATACTAACAGGGTATGAATTGGATTGTTTATTTCCCGGCGCCTTGGCATTGGGCTTCGAACATCATATCCACGTTGGGTTGGGAATATGTGGAACAGTTTCGCGTCGAGTCAGTCAAATTGCGTTCGCCTTATCGCAACTGTGCGTAAGCCTTGTCAAGACGCGAATAATTAAAGGGAGACGCGTTGACTATCTCTAGGGTAATTCCAACCAGACTTCCAATAATAAGGCGAAAACTACAGAGTACACTTATGAACAAGCTTAAATTGAGTGTCAATTCATAACGTGAAACTCTCTAAGTCTTAATTGAATGTGATGGAGAAATGTGGATTGGGGATTACATTTGCGTTCTGCTGACTATGAGATACAGTGGTTATACTGAAGAAGAAAAAAAAAAGATTATAGGGTATGGAAATTGTTGACGCTATTGAGCGTCCCTTAGCACAAACGATATCTATCTTATAATTGAATTAACAAACCAGGGAATGATGACATCCAAGTTAATCAAGCCTTCCGGCATTGACCCTACTCCAGATTCTATTTCGGAAGGATCAATAAAGATGTCGACAGATTGAATGGAGCGCTATGCTCTCCTTGGACAAGCGAACAATGTGGCTGTGAAGGCGTAGTGGCGCATATTCCACGTTATCGCTTGCGTTGCGACGTTCCTTATCTTATCTTTCCGTGCTAAAAATATCGATGGTTCGCTTCTTCTCAATGGATTAAACTCAATAGAAGGGTTACGCCAGCTAGTATGCGTCGTCAACCGACAATGATCATTCAAATGACATATGTTAAATCGCGACGAAAAAAGAATACTTGATTGAAGATCTAAGTTCAAAGACTGTCAACATGGGAGAACATGGATATTGGTAAGTTGAACAACCACGTGACTCAACACGTGATACTCTCTGTAACGACATCGCCAGTCTTTTTCGCGCTTTGCTTTCTTAACAATCTCATTATGGACGTCTTTGAAGTCTGGTGCATAAATGACCTGTTTCTCAAGTATAAACAGTAATGGGGCAAATAAAAAGCAATATGAGATAATTCACTGGCTTGGTAATAGATGCATCGTGGGGTTAAACGGGAAGAAATCGCTATAGTTAACAGCTGAAGTCTTGCATCAGTTACTTTTCAAGCCCAATGGATCTTAAAGGAACGAGTTTTGCTTAGTAAATTGACGATAGATGAGACTATAGTTAATATGTAATTTTGGTAAGTGTTTACTACACTTCGTAAAGCTCTTTAGCTAAATATTATAATAATTAGAGTTAAAAGAAGCAAGCTTATTCTTATATATACAAGTGAATCTAATAACTATCTAGCTGTTCGCTATCGCTGCTTCTCCCTCCAGTATAACTTAAGAAACCTATAACTAAGATTAAGTTTCTGAACCAGTCAATATGCTAAATACACCTCGATTCCTCTTCGCAGAGTAGATCGGTTGAACACCCACCTCTGTTGGAGGGCTATTGACAACTAGGACTGTGGAACGAGAGATTGTGGAGTAATTGTATTGAACTCTCCCATAATAAGGATATCAATAACCGTGGGAATTGTTTGCTTACGGAATAAAAAGCCGAACTCTACTGATGCATTTAAACAACTCGGCACGAGGTTCATGATGGGCGGCGTTCCTTCAGGTTTATTGGTTTGCCGGAATAGAAAACATGGAAGGCTATCCTGGACCCAAAGGCCATTGAAATGATGCTTCTTATGAGACAACACAAGTCATTTGCTTTGACACTCCGTTGATGGCAATAAGACTGCCCGTCACGGTATTAAGTTTCCCAACGCTATACTGAACTGAAACAGAAATGCAAATGCACATGAATATCTCTTCGGTTCCTATTGTTGATTGCTAGACTGTGCGCTTGGCCAGGATATCAGGGTACATGTGATTGACACGATAGTCACTAGCAGCCTTTGCATCTCAAGAGAGCCTACGACAAGCGTCGTACTCTTAGTGTATGTACTGTAAGGCCCATGAACTTCCTTCGGGATACAATTCTGAAGCATAAAGCGTGCCTCATTACCAGTATAGCCTATCATGCACAAAGTGGACAGTTATAATTGGGGAAGATGCTCCTGGAAAAGTTATGCCCGTCCCAGGAGAGAAAAAATGGTATCGCCCTAAGCCATGCATCACCAGGTGCTCTCACAACATCAACTTCAAGGCCAAAAAAGGCCATTTGATGTAGAGTCGGGTATCCTTGATACCTTTGGAATTTCTGTCTCGGAATGGGTCTCTATGTGCATCTTGTCAGGCTACCGAGGGTGATGGCGGAATATGTACAGACAATAGTCATGGCGTGTGGAATCCAGTCGTCTGGATCGACTTGGAGAGTTCAGAGAGCATCTACAAAGATGGACTTGAGACTAAGACGAATAGTTACCGTCATGGCTTCATGAACCGTTCAGGGAAAGTTCTTCATGGATATTCCACTGGTTGCCATTACATCAGAAATGGATTTGACATTTGTAAAGTTAATCCTGCCCCAACATACCTCAGTCTAGTATAGTGAAAGTAAAGAGACTTGAACTCGTCTCTATTCGGTTCTTGGAGAATAATCTCTGGTGTACCTTGCTCATCCAAGATGATCTTGTCAAGTCTAGCGGGAGCTAGTCTCTGGCTTGATCACTTCTTCTTTGGAGTTTCTACACCATCAATAAATCTCGGATCAATCCTGCATCCAAGTCGACAAGCGCTTCAAATTGGACTGACCGGACTCACTTGTTCAAGCTTTGCCAATCGCTTTATAAAATCTCATACGAGGGTCCCAAATAGAGTCGGCTGGCAAGTATTTAGTAAGGAACTATACTATCCATTAGCTTGTACCATTGAAAACTCTTAGCTCAAACTGATTGATGTTATCATTCTGTTGTCGTATGAGTATAGGGCCTCTGGTGAAGAGGTCTTGAATATTGTTCGCATTTGGTTCATATATAACTAGGGCAGGCTTGCCTGGCCAAGAAGAGGGAGATTTATAAACGAACCAGTCAGAGATTGTCCAAAAGTTGTATCTGTACTGGCATTTGAGACGACCAATTCACGGAAGTGACATACTCAGACAGCTTGACATCAGTCTGGGATGATGCATCGGACGGATGCCGCTTTCCACGCTCCTTCGTCAAAAGCAAAACAATGAACGTCTATAATTAAAGCTTTTGGCGGCTTCTAGTTAAGAGATGCGACTAGATGACCTTATAGCGAGCAAAGGTTGGAAGACACTTTTCATGAGGTGATTGTTGTAGAGGAGATTCTCTATCCTGCTTATCCCATCAGCCAAACTTATCTTATCGCACAGTTTATTATCACCTGTCCAATGTTATACAGTCGGGAAATTTCTCTATCATTCCGAATACAGTGATAATGTATTGCAAATAATTCTTCGGCTTTACTTTTGGTCTTGTTGTATATCTAAAATTGTTCAATTGTGATAGTGACGAAAGACTGGCTAAGTGAAGATTGAAGTTAGAAGACTCTAGACAGAGTGTGTATTTGTATCATGTGACTATACACGTGATACCCTTCACACTCAACAAACATCATTCAAAATTCTGACTCTTAACTATTTCGCTAGAAATATCCCTTATATCAGTCTAGATAATAGGATACGTGTGTAACTGATCTAGTTTCTTATAATTTTCTCTGTATTCTATGGATGCATTGCCTTTGTCTCTGTCTGCAATTGATCTCCCAGCATTCTTGATCCTTCGCCTAATATCTTCGTTCCAACCCATTTTAAGCGATAACCGAGGACTGTCGCTGCTTATCTCTGAGCAGGGTTGGCCGGGCGGGAGATCAACCCCGGACAAAGCGTACAGTTTACGTTCTAGGCTCCTGCACCTATGATTCGTGGTGAACCAGCTATTCGCGCTATGACAGTGTACCAAAGTGTAGACACACACTCGATGAAGTCGGCCTAGATTTCGGAGTTTGCATACGGACATTGCCTAGTAAAAGCCAAAAATTCCAGGTGGCTGAAAGCTCACTGCTCAGTGATGCGGAATTCATTGAGTTTGCGCTGTGTGCTGCCACAGCTATAATGTACTCTGCAATACCAGGAGCCCATTTCTCCAGCCTTCCAAAGTGTTGGGTTGGAATCACCGAAGCACCGAAACGCCGGCACTATCGAAATAAGATTCTAGATCTCCCCGCACTAGATGGCGCTCAAGTCACACACAATCTGGGGTATCCGCGGGGAACCTAGACTCCTAGAGTGGTTTCCACAGCCCCAAGGTCTAGATGAGTTACAACGCGGGGTACAACCCGTTTCTTTAACGTTGTTGTGGTAAAACTCTACGCTCTGATTGGAGTCCCAGCATTTTGTACTAACACGCCTAGAACATGCATGCGCGCTATGTCCCTTGTCTAGGTATATAACACTCTGCCCTTGCAGCAAGAGTGTTGCATTCCCATCTTCTCCATCAGTTTCTCTCCAGCATCAATCACAATCAGTAGGCTATCGGCACGCACAGTGAATGACAATGGCCGTACACCGCACAGCATCTCATGCCAGTTCCATGGAGAAGCAATCTACCGCTCATGTCGAAGGGCAGCCGGCCGAAGATGAATACCTCTCTTTGTTTCCCCTCTTGGCCAGCAAAAGCCCTGAGGAACGTCAGCTCATCGAGAAAAAACTCAAGCGCAAACTGGATTGGGTTTTCCTGCCGGTTGTCACACTTATGCTGCTGATGGGGTATCTTGACCGGATCAACGTGGCCAATGCTCGACTTGCAGGTATGCAGGACGACCTTCACATGTCCGACACCATGTGGTCTGCTGGAATCTCGCTTTTCTACGTTGGTTACATCGTCACCCAGCTCCCCGCTACCGTATACCTCGCCAAAGGCCTGCCACGATGGCAGATGCCTGCATATGTCATCGCATGGTCAGTCATCACAGCTTGTATGGCTGCTATGAGTAGCGGTTGGTCTTTCTTGGTATGCCGCTTTATGGTGGGTGTAGCTGAAGGACCGTTTTTACCCATGGTCAGCTTGGTGACTTCGTCCTGGTACACCAAGGAGGAGGCGCCTTTGAGAATGGCCATTTGGCATGCTGGTAATATCGCTTCCAACATCTTCTCTGGACTTCTCGCGGCCGGTGTTTTGGAGAACATGAACGGCGTTGCCGGTATGCGTGCTTGGCAGTGGTTCGTCATCATCGAGGGTAAGTATATTCTGCTCCTGAACATTACGACAAATGGCTAACTCCATCTTTCACAGGTATCGTCGGTCTTTTCGTCGCTATGATGGGATTCTGGTGCATCCCAAACTTCCCTCACAATACCGGTACATACTTCATGACGGCCGAGATGTCAGAGATGGCCCAATACCGAATGATTGTCTCTGCAGGAGGACGATCCGAGGACGACGAAGGCGGTGCCTGGGAAGGAGTCAAGCTTGCTTGTCAAGACCCATTCACCTGGATCTATACAGTGCTTCACTTTGGTCTCATTGTCGCGCTTTCGTTCAAGGATTTCTTCCCATCGGTAAGTCACGCGTACAAGTTGTTGCAAAGTTTCAACATGGCTGACTGTTCCAGATTGTCAAAACTCTCGGCTACTCGAACCTCATGACGTACCTCATCCAAGCGCCACCGTACATTTTCGCTTACATCGCCACCTGTGTAATCTCGTGGTCTTCAGGAAAGCACATGGAACATTGTTGGCATATCATTGGTAGCACAGTGGCCTGCATTGTAGGCGTCGTTATCATGATCTCCACCCTGAACCCAGGTGCCAGATACTTCGGCATGTTCCTCTTGTGTGCTGGACCTTTCGTTGGCCTGAATGTAAGTACTCAACGCTTCGACATGTTGTCATCTCATGCTAATTAATACAGGTTCACATCCCTTGGGAAACCACCAACGTCGCCCGCCCTCGTACAAAGCGAGGTGCTCTTGTTGCCATCACCAACTGCATCGCTTCAGTCTCTCACTGGTTCACACCATACTTTTTCGTAAGTTTCTCATCCTCAGCATATCAGACTTTTGTTGACCAGTCCAGCTTCGCTCCCAGGAACCTCGCTATCAGAACGGTGGTATTCTGATCATTGCAGGCTGTGTTTTGGGCATCGTCGGTTGCCTTGTCTGCAAATGGTATGTCAAGAGACTCAACAAGAAGATGGAGGCACACGAAGCGGCCAACAACCTGCCAAAGAGGTGGCGCTACGTTGAGTAAGCCATTGAATTCGTGGTGACGATGGATACATGGTTGGGTTCATTTGGCTCGGATTTTGGGAACTGGCAATGGTGGAATATGTCGCTGGGGTCATGTACAACGGGGTTAATCTGGAGATACTACTACTGATGGGGATTCCTCACCATTGCGCACTTGAAAGAAACAATACAAGTCATCAATTGTCTTCAACATCTTCGCCTCTATCTTTGCTTCTTTGACTTGACCTGTTATGACTTTTGACTACAGTCATCATAAGACTCTGAACGTGAACAACCACTAAATCTAAGCGGCTTGTTGGTACAGTCCTTGGGGTACTAGAGACGTTGGACGCTCGAGACACGAGACGAAATTAGCAAGTCAGTTTATGCTGTTACGACCGTGATCCTAGTCATTTTTTTTTTTTTTTTTTTTAAATCTGAAAGCTCAGAAGGTGATCTTTGTTACTACCCATTAGCCAGTCAATCGCACTGTTAATTGTCCACGGCTTAACGAAAGCATCTCCCAATAATCGGGATGTAAAGAAGTGACTGTTTGCCTTATCTCCGATGCCAACTGTTCTGTCAATTCATTTATGTCTTCACTTTGCGAATTGAGGTTGATGAGTGAGTGCGTCCAAGCAAAAGAAGAAAAGGGCATTGACGCTGCGTCTTTTCTTTTATTTTATTTTTTCCAGTGGATATTCCAGACAAAACAGCAACACATCTCCAAGATAGTAGTGGTCCACTTTCATCGTTTGCGATATCATGGATAAGTTGTACCACCTGTCCACATACGAAGACCAAGACAATTCCCAGAATAAAACGCAGAGCTCTGCAGACAAACGGAGGTCGACTTGTTGAGGGGTAAGCTTTCCCAATGCTCCAATAATGCTGTCCAATCTCAAGGTCAATCCGCCGGAGATTCGGCGAAACGCCGAGTAGCGGGAAGAGGCTTGCATAGCTCGTTGCAAGGAATGCACGCACCATCAGGCTGTGAGATATACTGTTGTTCAAGTGTCGCTACCAATCTCTAACAAGTCGTTCGGTCAATCCTGTGTTGACATCGTGCAATTGAGGTTAACAACATGTTTGTAGCTGTATCTTCCCACCGTCGCCTCATTTATTCGACGTTCAGTTACCAACAATAATTGCGACAGCCTCGATGTTAGCACAGACAATTGGTCGTGGCCCACTGTAAACGCCACATCCCACTGACTCGCCATAGCTTCCCCCCTGGGAATAAGCTGGTCGGCGTTTCGGTGTTTCGGAACTACGACCAAGTCCACATGTTCAAACTTCAAGCTCTCCTCCGTCACTCTTCCCGAACGGCACAATCCTCACAACAACACCGGCGGTTCATCGAAAATGCTCGCGTGTACACTCTGTCACAATCGCAAGGTCAGTGCATGTTTCCCTAGAGCTCGGTCCGGATGATCAGCCCTTGCTGTGTCCAATTGAACATAGTCTCGACGTCAATCGGACCCGACTTGGTCCGCAGACAAGCTGACTCCCCCCAGGTCCGCTGTGAAGCTGACGACGAATCAAACGGCTGTGTAACATGCAAGGCTGCTGGAGTTGAGTGCATGTGGGTATCTCATCTATAGGTAGAAGGTCATCTAGTGTAGGCTGACACAATGCTTCAGTCCGCGCTCTAGGAAGCGTCGTCGCGCAGGAACAGCTTTAATCACTCGACAAAGCAATGATAATGGTAGCCCAAATGACGGAAATGACAACCGCCAGAGCGTTTCACAGGCGCCTGGAGTAGGCATAGAGATACCGGTGGAACAACCCGTGTATCAGACCCCATCCACGGTGAGTCACGTATTTTTTTGCTCTAGTTCTCTCGTGACCACCTTGATAAGAGCGTACCTGATTCAAGACATTCACCGTTGAAGTATCAGAGATGGCATGGTGTTTCCACGACTGTTCTTGATCTGGATCAAGGCTGACATGTAACTGCAAGAGTCACGACACCACCTACATTGGAAGAGGCCACTATGTTGCAGACGACGATGAGATCGATGAGTCGAGTGCTCGTGCATTCGAGCCGGCAAAGATTAAGGTCGGCCCTCATGCCAATACGCAAAAGGAAACATTGGTTCTATGGAAAGCTTTCGATATACCACCCCAAGCAGCGCGCCAAAGTCTGCTCAGTGCCTTTTTGGACTATTGTAACCTATGGACGCCTGTGCTAGAGCCGAAAGACATTCAAGACCTTTCATGTTTTGACCAAGAAGAGAGCTCGATGCTCTTGGCGCAATCGTTATGGCTGGCAGGTAGTCGAGTCACGAACGCACCTTCAGTGGTTGCCTTTGCATCGTCTGACGACTTCTATCACAGAGCCAAAGCAGTCTTCTGGTCTGGGGTAGAGGCAGATGGTCTATCTGCCATCAAGGCATCACTGATGCTCCAATGGTACAACCCACAGGCTCCTGAACACATTTCGTTTGACAACAGTGGTTTCTGGCTCAAGATTGGAGTTGGCATCGCCCATCAGATCGGTCTTCACAGGGAATCCCCTCTAGGGCCATCTAGGGCAATTCGACGGAGACTGTGGTGGAGTTTGGTGGTAAGTGCAACCTGAACAAAAGATCACCATGGTCGTGTATAAGGTCGTTCCTTTACTAATAATTGCACAGGTTCGTGACTCGTTAATCTCAGTCGCGCATGGCAGACCACGAATCATCAATCTCGACGATAGCGATGTCCAGGCCCCGATAGCGAGCGACTTCCCCGACTCCCTCTTCGCATTCCAACTATTCTCATCCTGGGTGAGTATCTGCCAGATACTTGGAGATATCTCGTCTTGCTGCATGAGACGGCACATGTCACGAACAAAAAGGCTCTACATCGTGAATGCCTTGTGCTGCTGGACAACGAGTCTGCCTCAAGAACTCTGGGTTGCGCCCAGCAATCAACCACCTCACAGCTATTTCGCAAACAGCCACAACTTTCCGGCGCGTCAGCTGTATCTACCATACTTCACCAGTTTAATTGTGCTCTCTCGAATGCAACACTCGGCTGGATCGCTATCAGTGGTTGCGACGTTGGCTGCATCGTTTGTGGCCCGCATTTTTGAAGATTTCCTGGCCAGGGACGAGATCAAAGTTCTGGCACCGATCAGTACTCGGTATTGTCTCATTTCAAGCATGGCTCTAGTGTCAGTCATGCCTGATAAGCGACTGTGGGATGCTGTGCAGCCAGATCTGGACGTATTACAGCTTGCCCTCACGGAACTATCGAAGCGTTGGCGATCGGCAATTGGGGCTTCTAGAGCTCTCCAAAATGCTATCAAGAAGAGGCAGCAACGTATGGGTAATTCTACAGCTACGTTGCGGATGGATAATCAGAATTCCCTAGAATACTTCAAGATGATAGACCTTGGCTATTGCCGCATATGGAGTACTCTGAGCCAGCAACTGTCCTCAAGCCCGCTGGATATCCAACAACAAATGCCACAGCCAATGCAACCACTCGGCGACGCGTTGGAGACTAATTACGAGCAGTTCATGGATCCTGGAGATGAGTTTGACATGGGGACCATTCAATTCGAGCATGTAGAAAATTGGATTCTCAATGATGGGTTTTTGTTTGATCCTTAGATAATATGTAATAGTGTGTCTATATACTGAACTGTCATGCCGTTACAGCTTGTGTTTCTTGAGCCCTTTCCTCATCTTCTCAAACTCCTTCTGTGGAATGCCTTGAACGTTTCTCTCCAAAGCTCCAAACACCTCATCTACATTCTGCGCATCCAATTCCCGTCTCGAACGTTGTCTAATCATCTTCTTAATCTGCAACATGCTTGAAGCATTCAGACCTTCGTGAAACCTTTCCTTGACCTCCTTGAGAACCTCACTCCGAAATGAATCCGCGGGGCAATCGAATATCTGGTTTACGAAACCTGCTTGAAGCAATTCCTTACTGGTAATTCGCTTCGACAGGATCAGGGCTTCATTCGCTTTCGATATTCCCATGCGCTCAGCGAACGCTATCGACGAGACTCCTTCGCTGATAAGGCCCAAACTAGCGAAGGGTGTCAAAAGATAAGTTTCTGGCGTGCAATAAATGAAATCGGCGAAAGCAATCAGTGCAGCAGCCATACCAACCACAGGCCCGTTGAGAGCTACCACCAAGATCTTGGGGTGCGTATAGAACGCCCTCGCAAGATTCATGTTGCTGGCTACAGTGACGGTAAGGTTGTGGCGATACAAGTCTGTGCCCTCGGGTGTCTTCCTGGACACCGACACGTCCGCACCACTATAAGCATGTGTCAATAATTGTACCAATAACACGTGCACAAAGATGGAGAAGCTACTTACGCTGAAAAAAACCTCCCATTGCCTGTCAAGACGGTCGCTATCACTTCGTCATGTGTACTGACTTCCTGAAGTGTGCGCGCAAGCTGGTAGAATTCGTCTTTGGTCAAAGCGTTCAGCTTGTTGGGTTTGTTGAGCGTTATGACCGCAATCGGGCCATTGTACTCAACCTCGATGACTGCCATTGTTGCAATGTTGTGTCAAGATGACAATCTGAATTGAGATATGGATGTAGGTTTCGTGGTAAGCCAAGGAGGATGGATTGTGGCTCTCTACCCAAAGTCAAACTCAAGCGGTAATTTATTGGCATGGCTCTCGAATGAGTCGCTATCGGCTCACAGGTTATTGGTTTACTACGATTAACCCATTTCTCCGAAAAACCAACTCAACCGTAGCGCCGAACGCCGAGCGGCCAATGTGGACCCCGCCCGGAGTTTCGGTCCCAGCTCCACATTATCGGTATTTTCTAACGCCGGGTCCGTCCGGGGACAACCAAGTGGAGGAAAGCAACAGACGTACTGTCGGACAGAAACTAAACCATTTTTATTAAGTCAGTGTTGATAATTAAGATGCATTATCTCATTCGTGCTAAACAGAAAACGACGTAGACACAACAAGATCAAGCATCTCAATACAGTCATGGATTCTATCACTGCCAATATGGATCGCACACAGATGGTTCCGTTCCACGATGGTCCACATGTACTCCCCAACAACCCATTGTTCACCAGGCTGTTACGTCACGCACATCGAAACTACCTTGCCATTACAGACAGAGAGCTTGGTGTTTCTAAGACGTATGGAGAGCTGCTGGATACAGTGCTGGCTTTCAGAGAAGTTGTGCGAGCAGCGTTACCCTCCGAGGTCATTGATCAGTTGAGCAACGGCGAGGAGGTGTATGTGGGAGTACTGTCCGCAGGGGGCTATGAGTTCACAGTTGCTGTACTGACAGTGCTGGCACTAGGAGCAGCGGTGGTGCCCATGTGTACGTCTATCCTGTTCTGTTACATTTTAAGACTGACTGACTGACTGCATCTATCTAGTCCCCACAGCGCCTGTTGAAGAGATTGTCTATTACGCTACCAAGTCACAACAAGTGGCAATCTTGTCCAGCTCAGCGACGACGCAACTAGCCCAAGAATCAGCACAGCAATGTGGAATTGCACAGATCAGCATTCTACCCAACCTACCTCGCACGACTCGATTCGGACCACCCGAAATATCCTTGTCTTCAAACCCACCACAAGACCCCAGCGCTCCCGGCGTAGTCATCTTTACGTCTGGAACAACTGGCAAGCCCAAGGGTGTGGTTCTGCGACGTACCTATACACACGAGGGTGCCATCACCGTTGGTGATAGCTATGGGATAACACACACAGACGTGCTCCTACACACGCTGCCCGTACACCACCAGACTGGTCTGGGTACATCATTCTTCCCTTTTCTCAACGCAGGTGCCTGCATCGAGTTCCATGGCAAGTTTGACGCAGCCACTGTCATGAAGCGCTGGTTGCAAGGCGGTCTAACTGTCTTCTCTGCCGTACCTACTATCTACATGCGCTTGAAGTGGTTCGTCGAGCAGCTCCCAGAGAAGGAGCAGATCCCTTACAAGCAGTCAGCTTGCCAGTTCCGTGCATTCCTTTGTGGATCCAGTGCTTTGCAGGAGCATGTTCAGGACTTCTGGGCCGCTGAAATGGGCCGACCTATCCTCGCTCGCTATGGTGCTACTGAGATTCCTGGCTGTATCCGTGTATCTGTCGAGCTTCGTGACGTTCCCAAGGGAAGTGTTGGTCAGCCTATACCAGGAGTAGAGGTCAAAATCTCACCTGAGGGAGAGCTATTGGTCAAGACACCAAATATGTTTGCGAAGTAAGTACTGTGTCTTATTATTCTTCTACCTGTGGCTAACGTGCAACACAGGTACCTCATGGAACCGGAGATAACCAAGAACGCTCATGATGCTGATGGCTGGTACAAGACCGGTGACATTGCAAGGCTTGAAGGAAACTTCTACTTCATCGTTGGTCGTGCATCAGTTGACATTATCAAGTCTGGTGGTTACAAGATCTCAGCTCTGGATATTGAGCGTGCGTGCCTGGCGCTGCCGTACGTCAATGAGGCCATGGTGGTGGGCGTTGAGAACGAAGAGTTTGGGCAGCGTGTTGGCGCAGTTCTGGCTGTGAAGAACGTGAATGCTTCGGACGTTACCCTTGAACAGCTTCGAAGTGATCTGAGGGGTCAGCTGGCTGGGTATAAGTTGCCAACTGTGTTGAGGATCGTGGAGGGTGAACTTCCAAAGGGTGCCACTGGAAAGGTGCAGAAGAAGATCCTGGGACCGGAGCTGATACCAAGTCCTGGATATGAGAAGATCCCCCAGGTACAAGTGTGGAAGAAGTCGAGGACAGGAGGTCCAGTGCAGGCCAGACTGTGAATGGCAATCCTGTTGAATGGAATTACATAGCTGGTTCGGGTCTCTAGAAATGTTTTCAGACCGAGGTACCCAATTTAATGTATATCAATATTGCAAGCCAAATTTGACAAGACATCATTTTGAAAGTTATTTGTGCAACTAGTGCCGTCTATTATGGGAAGGGACTCAAGGAAAAGATGACACTCGAGATCTACTACTGCGGCTGGTTCCCGGAAGATGTAAATGCAACGAACTAACTGACAGTGGGCTTTTTTCTTCTTTCTGTGATATCTAACCCCGCAAATGCCGAATGCCGAGTACGTACATATTTGTTCCGACTGTTTGAAGCGCGATCTTAAACATGTTATATTCTCATAACCCCTCTTCACCACACATCTACACATTGAGGCGCAAACCCCAGTATTATCATAAAAATTACCCTACAACTGTCAGCATGACTACTCCATCTTCATTCACAGTCACAAAAGGACTCATTACCATTGAGGCACTCGACGAAGGCACTGGTCCTGTTATTGTTATCCACCCCTCTCTCGCCCGTGGCGCAAATGACTACGACATCGTTGCCCAATTCCTTGTCGAAGCTGGCTACCGTGTTGTCCGTCCCCAGCCCCGTGGCATCGGCAAGAGCAATGGACCCATGGACACGCTGACGATACACGACTTCGCCGCCGACGTTGCCATGGTCCTCGACCACATCAAATGTGGCCCATCTGTCATAGTTGGCCATGCCTGGGGTAGCATGCCAGCGCGTATGCTAGCAGCTGATCGCCCAGACCTCGTCCGGGGCGTTATTATGGCAGCCGCCTCGGCAGGCAGGCTACCTCCGGGATCGACGGAGAAGCCATTCAGTCGGCTACGCATGGAAATTGACGGCTCTGGCGATTTTTCTCTCCCTGAGTCCAAACGTCTCGAGTACTTGCAAGCAGCCTTTTTCGGACCTGAGAGCAACCCACGACTGTGGCTGGACGGATGGAGTGAAGCTACCCACGATGCTCAGGCGTATGCGCGGATGCATACGCCCGTTGATGAGTACTTTTCTGCTGGAGAAACTGTTCCAATCTTGGATCTACAGGCTGAATATGACGCCGTTGTCGTGAAAGATGTTATGAAGCAGTATCTCGGCGATCGTGTCGAGGTGCAGATTATCAAGAATGCTGGCCATGCTCTGGCACCAGAACAACCAGAGGCGATGGCCAATGCTATTATCGATTTCACCAAGAAGCTTTAAAGAAATAAATACTACATTCCATCACTTTCGCTATCTTCACTATTCCAAGACCTGGAGCTGTTGCGCCTATGCTTTCAGTGCGTTTCCGGGGGAGTAAAGAGCGAGCTGGAATAACAGAAATTTTATTGAATGGAAGAAATCAATAGCAAGTATATGGGAAATAACCTAAAGCAACTAGATATTTTACTATACTAGTATCCATCGTCGAGTTTCTGCATTCCTGGTGGAAGATTGTCTTTTCCATTATTACGAGGTGTAGAGTCTTTTGAGCAAGCCATTGTAGTCCAGGGTGTCTAGGGTAAGAAGACACCCACACAACGTCACTAGTACGGCTTCGGCGTCATTATCAAGGCGGTCGTGCAGCACGGCAATCGTTGTCCATCTGTCAAGAGTTCGATCCGTGCACTAGGAAATAGGTACGGATCTTTACCGAAATCGCGGGGTCAACCATTTAGCATTGTCCGATCGGAAATTGAGTTTACTGCGATCTTCCGCGGGTGTTGACCGGAGCGGCTGTATCTTGCGGAGGCCGAGAGTGGCCTAACACGACCAAATGGTTGTTACAAGGAGCCAAAAAGACATTGGCTAGTGGGTAACAGAAATGTTAGCCTCCTAAATCTTAGAGTATAAAAATAAGTAGTCTAAGAACTATACTCTAAGGAGCATAAAGTGACCTACTATTTTCGTCTCATATGCTTCCAACGGTCAATGTTTCTGATAACCTGAGGATTGTGGCCAACAATTAGCCGCAAGAGACAGCCAACACTGCCATTCTGCATAGCTAACCACTTCGGGATCCTGTGTGGTACAGCGTGAAAGTGTTTGGATTGTCATGGACCTTCGGCGATTCACACGGCGTTTCGCTAGAATGGCGCTACAACCATAACGCCGAGGCCCGCACAAAGCCGTGGTCCTGGGCCAATCTAAGGTAATAGCACCGCTGAGCGTCATTAAATGGCTAAGTGATCAATTAAACGTTGGGGTTTGGACCATTAGCAACATCACAGCTTCAGTGTCATTTGTTTTACCACATACGCCAGTAATCATGTACGAAAATCTTAACCTTGAGCGACAGGGAAATGTCTTCATCCTTACTCTACAGAAGCCACCTGAGAACCGTCTCACATCACAATTCTGTCAAGAAATAATTCGGGCTCTGAACGATGTTAGAAAAGATATAGGTGCCGACGCACCTGGCGCTGTCATTATTCGTGGTAATGATGCCAAGTTCTTCTGCACGGTACGTTGTCCTGCGCTCTTCCTTCTTCACCAGCTTCTAACTACGTACTCATAGGGATTGGATCTCTATGAACGAGACACAAACCCATACGCCAGTTCCGAGGGATTTTATCCAGTAAGTAGCCAATTGTAATCTGGACTTTGTGAACCGTTCACTGACATGATAGCTTGTTGCAACTCTCTTGGATTACCCGTTCCCCACTATCTGCCTCATTACAGGACACACTTTTGGAGGTGCATCAGTATTGTCATTGGCACACGACTATCGCATCATGAATGCTACCCGTGGGTACTGGTGTATGCCTGTAGCAGAGCTCGGCCTCCATTTCGATGGAATGGGCGCTTTGTTGAGAGCCAAGCTGCGACCACAGACAGCCAGGAAGGTCATCCTGCAGGGTCACAAGTTCACTTCAAGTGAGGCATTGGAGGATGGTGTTGTGGATGAGATTGCTCCGCCGGAGGAGATGCTGGATCGTGCAATGCAGCTTGCCAACAAGGTCAAGTCCAAGGCAAAGCTGGGAGTCTACGGATTACTGAGGGGAGAGCTTTATGGCGAGGCATTGAGGGCGTTCCAGCAGATTAGTTATGTTCATTCTCGCCTCAATTCACGCCAGGCAAAGGTGAAGCTATAGGTATAACAATCATATTTGCGATTTTGAGCACACAATTTCGGTCTCGCATATCCAAGACGTCAATGATGTTGTAACTCGTTGAAACTTCCTCAGAGATAGCCATCAGCAAGGTCATGAAAGATAACGTGGAATGCAGTTTTATTGCGTCAAGAAGGTAATTGATGTCCCTGTATACACTCGAAGATCGGCTATTGTCATGTTGACATCACATCTCAGCTGTCTGAAGAAGCTCTTCATCACGATTGGCTTTGTAGCGTAGCTTGGACTAACAGGGTATTTATTACATGATATACACGGCGAATCTCAAACTCCAAATAAATTACTTTATCATCCATTTACACCATAATCATACAGCATCCATATCGATATCTTCAGCAATTCGACTGTTGTTGTCGCCTGGCAGTGAGATCTCCTTGTCCAACAATGCATCTATCCAGTCATCGCTCAGTCCACCTTCCAAAATCATGCTGTCTGAATCAATCGAGTCTACCTGTATGGGTACAATCTCTTCGCGGGGAGAGAAATGGTCTGAGCCACGTCTTCCACCATCTGCGATTTCTTCCGCCCAAAATCCTTGAGAATGGTCTAATGACGCTGGTGAACATGTCTCTTCAGAGGTCTCGTTGAGGTAGGATTGCATGACATTGTTGAATCTCTCTTGTAACCCTTCTGGGTTAAGGAAGCTTGAAGCAGTTGTGCCGACGTCCACTTGCGCCGCTGTCTCATCCCCATGTGACGTAGACAGAGACCTCTGCTCGGTGCTCCTTCGAGATGGAGCCGAAGACACGGGAGGGGTCAATGTCCATGATGCATCCATATCCCGAGATAGTCGAGTCTGAGCAGAGCCAGTCCGCAAGTGGTAGTCATCCAATGAAGCACCCATACCTCTGTCGGGAAGCTCCCCTCCCCAGGAGAGAATAGTGTCCAGTCTCTCAATGAGACCAGAAAAAAGCCTAGGATTGCCGTCTAACAGTTCGCGCCAGCTACTCATCTGTGCCTGAGAGCCATCGTCTTCCCGATCAAAGTCGATTTGTCCTTCTTGGCTCTCGTGCAGACTTTGAGCAAGGTAATCGTTGACAGCTTTGGCCACTTGTAGTATGTACTCAAGATCATTCTTGTAGTGCAGTTTCAAGCACTTCATGACCCTTTGCACCCAGACTGGGTAAGACTGTACTCCCAAGACTTTCCGGCTCGATGACAGCGATGGCTGTAGATGAGCTTTTATGTTCAGGAGATGCAAAAGAAGCGGGAGCGCTGTGCAGAAAATCCTGTTCGTGCGTTAGCGTTGCTAATCACGTGGAGTTGTGAACTCGATGTCTACTCACATGCTTTCTGGGACCTGGGACAGATGTTGGTGCTGCAAACAATTCGACAGTCGATCTGTCATGTTGGCGATGTAATTCAAGTAATGGTGCTTCTGTTCACGGACGAAAGACTGTTTGAACAGCCTGGAGGTGGAGAACGTCGCGCGAGGACTCGCTGCGTAGCGCAGGAGGTCGCTCTGACAGAGCGCCAGCATGGCAGTCCTAGTAGCAGAAGTTAATTACTGTAGTATGAAGGGCTGTGTATATTCAATTCGAATGACCACTTACTCATAATGAAGGTACATCATGTTTGTTAGCAGCTCTACAGGGTCATGCTGTGAGCTCCCATGTTCTCTTCCATCATCAGGGCTGACAGGCGAGCCCAACGCAGAATCCCGTCCAGAAGTCACAAGTATAAAACTCTCATAATACCATGTTCTGAGGTCGTTCTTGCAATCAATGAACTCGTTTTCGTCTCCATTGAGTGTCGAGACTGTTCTGTTCGTAGCCGTGCCTGACTGTGGGTAGAGAAGAGCCAGAACTCTTCCCAAGATAGTGACAAGAGCTGACATTTGTTCCTGGGCTCCGATCCATTTCTGCTTAGATTCGACACCATAGACTCGAGAGCGTCCAATCTCATGTGACAAATCGGCTCGAGAGAGTACGTAGCAATCTTTCTCTGCCTCAGCCATACCGGGAGGCACCATGAGGGGCCGACGATTGTACATGCTGTGAATACGGTCGCTGAGTATGCAGCATCCCAACACTCGCCTGAGGTTGCTCTGGTTGTAGCGAATCTTGAGTGTGCACCAGAGCTTGACCTGAGAAATGGCGTCCTGGGAATGTTGAATCGCCCGGCCAAGCCACTGAGTACTGTGCCTGCTGGATCTTGAGCTTCTTTGTGAAGTCCAGTGTGCCAGAAGAAGAGAAACTTGAGCAAGCACAAGCGGAGATGACTCGGTGTCTTGATCGTAGAGAAGCTATAAAGGTAACTTAGCATATATGGTACACTTCTAGTAGTGTCAGATACTGAACTCACCTGAGTCTTCCGAAGGAACCTCTCCCGTGCCTCATGTGCAGATCCAAGCTGCATGCCTTGAAGGGCAGACTCTTCCACGTACTGCGACGATTAGTTAAGAGCTTTACCATGATCGATCACAGGGTGAAGCTTACCTTGCACGCCACAAACAGCATGGCTGAAAGTAGTATGACAGGAAGTCGAGTGTTGTTGCCATCAGATGCTAATGGATCATAGACAGACCAGAACTCTGCTTCATTGATAACAGGCAAGATCGGGTGAGCATAACGAAAGAATGCCCGGATCAGATCGTCCAGACAGCTAATTTCAGGTACTTTGAAACATCCTTGAGACTCCAAATACTTGACATCGTCTGTATGCAGAGAACTCAAATTGTTAATGCAGAGGAAAGTGTAATATGCGAATGTTATTTCGGGTCGGGCTTGAGTGTGGTCATGACTTGAAGTTCGACGAGGTCTTGCCTCTGCCAGTTTTGGCGTCCCAAGGCATTCGTCAGGCAAGACTGTAGGTGGGCCTTGATATTCCTTGGGGGCTATCCGACGTTGGCCTACTGTTTCTATCTCTTCCTCTGATGCATCAGGTTTCTCGGAGTGCTTCCTGATGCAAGCAGGTTAGTTTGGCGTACAAACCTCGCGTTCGAGGCTGCATAACTTACTTTTGTTGATGACGGCGACGCCAACTAACCACGCACTGTTTACCATCAAGCACACAGTTTGTGCAAGAATCACGCACGAATGCTACATCACAGCGAACCTTTCGTGCTCGGCAGGATAAGCATGCCCTGTAGTTCAGTAAAGGCACAGCCGGCTTGTTAGCCGAGTCTTAATGCTACTTTTGCAGGGGAGCAACAGGTCTGTATTCCTTTCCTCACACTAGGCGACTTACTTGGGCGATCTCTTTCGAGGCTCTTGTCGCTTCGGCTTCGGCTTAATAAAATTGCCTTGGTGTCCCTCAATTATGGTCGGCATGGTTAAGGCTTGTACCTCGGCTTGGATCTGGTAGGCGGGTAAAGAGAGCTGTGTTCAGGTGATAGTCAAACAGCGTTACTACAATAGCATCATCTGTACGATGAGAGCCAATCCACTGTCAATTGACTATCCATATACAATGAATAACGGCTATAATGAGAGACTGCGCATGCTACTTTCCTTCCGGGCGATTTTCGGTAACGCCGAGTCTGTGTCTAAAACGCCGAACGTACCCATAACGCCGACTGGCCTTATCGATTAGTGGTTAGGACGAAACCGTCTTGTTTTACAGAATTGGGATCCATGACTGATGTTTTAAAGTCATTCTGATGTCGAGATCTAATGGTTTGGCTCATCAAGGAAGAAGAATTCACCTAAGCAATCATGGCTGAACGTGTAGCTCAAATCGCATCTCACATTACCTACCCCAAAGGTCTTCTTGTGGGACAAACTGCGATAATCACGGGGAGTGGACAAGGTATTGGTGGCGAAGCAGCGCGCCTGTTCGCCCAGGAGGGTGCCAAGGTAGTCGTTTGCGACGTTGATTCAGGTAAGTCTCAGTTTCTGAGTCCCGGGAGGGATCTCAGAAAAAACAACTTCGGGATGAACAAGGTCGATCATACTAACACTTGTCGTTACCGTACTAAAGCCAAAGCACAAAGCGTTGTGGATGGGATCACCAAATCTGGAGGCCAAGCTCTGGCTGTCCCTGGTGACATCACAGATACAGAGTACATCGACCAGCTAGTGAAGCGCGCAGCCGAGTTTGGCGGAGGAGAAATCCACATCATCGTCAACAATGCCGGATATACTTGGGATGGTGTGGTGCATAAGATGACAGACAAGCAATGGGCTGCGATGGCGAACATCCACGGGAATGCTCCGTTCCAGCTTATTCGCGCCGCAGCCCCATACTTCCGCGTCAAAGATGGAAAGCAGCGAAACATTGTCGGCATATCTTCAACTTCGGGTGTCCACGGAAATGCCGGCCAGTCGAACTATGCCTTCTTCAAAGCCGGCGTGTCTGGACTGATGAAGACGATTGCAAAGGAATGGGGGCCGGCGTTCAACGTCCGAGCTAACACGGTGGCATTTGGGTACATTGAGACGCGCCTAACCCAGGCGAAAGAGGCAGGGGCGTTTATCACGGGACCGGGCGGCGAAAAGATCCAGCTCGGCGTTCCTGGGCGGGATGGCAAATCCTCCTTTGAGGATATCCCACTTCGCAGACCCGGTTCAGCAGAAGACGCCGCCAAGGCTGTTCTTGCTGTTTGCAGTCCTCTTTTCTCATACGTAACTGGTCAGGTGATCAGTGTGACTGGGGGGAGAAATATGTGAGGGGTAGGTCGGGTAGAGTTACTTTCAGTAGTATTCTAAAAATTCACATTACTTGGCACATCGCATCAATTATCTCCATGGCGAAAACCCGCGGCGAAACTCCGAGGGAATCCGGAGTTTCAATTACAGCTTCAACTTCTAAGACCAAGCGTTCTAATTTCTGCTCAGACTGTAGAATGTATTTGCCAAAGGGACCTCAGGATATTAAAAGAATTTACTGCTGGAAACACAAGAGACGAAATTATGAGGCTAACTTATGCTCTTTAGACTATAGCTCTTAGACTACTCATTTTTATACCCTGATACTTAGGAGATTAACGTCTCTGCTACCCACTAGACTGACTAACATACAAGGCCACGGTTCAGTCATTCATAGCTTCCCTTTGGCTTCCTTCACATTCTTGGCCCCCAGATTTCGGGATGCCGAGAGTACCAAGTTGATATGGCTGGCAAGCGCAACAAGATCCCCTTCCTGATCCAGGATGGTGACCTGCAAGTCAAGCCGCCCTTGTTCAATCTTCCTTGCTTCCGTCCTGATGAAAAGCCACTCTACACCCTCCTGTGGCAAGACCTTCTTGATGTCCAGATTCATAACAAGGGTTGGGTACCAAAATGGATCATTCCTGGAGAAAGGTACCGCTCCCGCCTCTCTGCTCTTACTATCTGGTAAGGGTCTCCAACCTTCAACGACGTAGGGCTTCGCATCCACAACAAGGGACAATGTGTTGTTGGTGAAGCGTTCACCGCTTGTTAGTCGAATCCATGAGTCTTCAAGTCCTTTGCGAGCGGGTTGTCGCCGATAGTACGATTCAAAGGCTCCTTCCACGGCGCGGACAAATCCCAGCGTTGCCAAGTGAGAGATCTGAATACGGGACGCCTCCAACGACCAGTTTGGGTCCAGTCCCTTGGCAGCTCGCTCTAAATCAATAGGCGGGGCTGGAGGGAGGAGTTTCCAGTCGGTAGTGAGAGTCAGGCCGTCTGCTGTCGGAGCCAAACACACATAGTAGCCAAACACACACTTCCTTGCCTTCGACTTTGGAGAGTCATGACCTTGTAGAAGAGTTGCATGAAAGGTAGAGGTTGCGCGACCGCTTTTGACTTTCTCTATGGCGATAGTTGCTTCACCTATCTGAGTACGGTTGACATATTGAAGCTGAGCTGAGATGATCTCTTGTCGTAGGCCAAGATTTCGAACATGACTCTGCACAGCTTGATACATCACGCTCGCCACGTAGCCGCCATTTGGTACTGTTATCCATGTCAACTATTATTTCTCGCTTTATCGTTTGTGATTAAGGCGTGACAAACCTGCACCTACGCAGTAGTCCTTGTAGAGATTGGCGCTCCAAAAGTCGTTCTCAAGCTGAGTCACGCCTGTAGCAGCTCTGAACGGCGTAATGGATGAAGATGAACTCATGTTGTGAATGTATGGTACCTCGTGATGAGACTTGGCAGGGAGCGTAACGCATCGTCGGCTACTTGCAGTGTAGGTAGGTGTTTATCTTCTAGTCGGGTGAGGCAACTGTGGCTTCCGAGAAATGCCTCGGCGATATGGGTGCACCGTTTCTTGGCACGGCGCGGTACAAATACTTCGACGCCATTTTTACCGTTACGGTCTTTCGCCGGTTCGGCTGTTTTCCGAAACCCCATAGGGTAAAGCTTGACAGCGTTGTCAACCCTCGTAGGGCCAATGGGTATGCGGAAATACGAGATCATCTTTTAAGCTTACAATTAACCTTGGCCGTGTGGGGAACCTGGGGAAATCTGGGGTTTTTTGCATAGTGGGGTAATAACCTCTTGTCGCAGTGAAGATCTTCTTACATATAAGGAGAGCTGTCTTCCACAATCGTCATTTCTTTTGTATTGCACTCAACGGAGCTTTCAATTTCAGCCAACAGTTCAATCAATCTCATTTTTATCGTCTCTGTTTTGTCAATTCCTGATGGCGTCCAATAGTGTTGATTCGGCAACGCAGCCAGCTGTTAGCCTGACTTCGTTGCGCCATGATAAGAGCGAAGCGCCGAATGCCGACAACGTTATAAATGTGGAGCACGATGAAGAAGGTAGTATGAAACATGTTGATGCTGATTCGACGCCTGTATCTGCTCGCGAGCATGCCTTTGCCGAACTCGGAATCCCAAATTGGGAAGAGTTGGAGAAGAAGGTTGTTCGTCGGCTTGATATGACCCTTTTGCCAACGCTTTGGCTTCTTTATGTCTTCAATTACCTTGACAGAGCCTCCCTTGGGTAAGCCATCACCAATGACGACGATTCTACTTTTCATGCCGGAACTAACCTTCTGATCACTTAGGCAAGCTCGCCTGAGTACTCTTGATGAAGATCTTCGATTAGAGGGATCGCAGTTTGGCTCTGCTGTGTCTATCCTCAGCGCTGGGTAAGTGCAAACTCGATTTCGTCTCGAATTCTCTCCTCTAATGCTCGGCAGATATGTTCTCGGTCAGGTTCCCTCCAACATGATCATTGGCAAGATTCGGCCGAGTCTATACCTTCCCGGTATGGCCATTCTATGGTCTGGGGTTTCAGCTGCCGTTGCTGGAGTCAAGACTTACGAGGGTCTCTTGGCCGTTCGTTTCTTCCTCGGTTTGGTTGAAGCACCCCTCTTCCCTGGTGTAAGTTCCACAACGATATGTGCAACATGGCAGGTCCCTACACAGAGTACAGACGCTAATTTGTGACCGCCTTGTTCATCATAGGCTATCTACGTAATGTCGAGCTGGTACACCCGTCGAGAGATCGCGGTCCGCATTGCCATCATGTCCACTGGAGTCTCTCTGGCCAACGGGTTATCGGGTCTGATCGCCGCAGCAGTCTTCACTACACTTGAGGGTGCACGTGGTGTCGCCGGTTGGCAATGGCTTTTTATTGTTTTGGCTCTGTTTGGGTCAGCATTTGCCTTTGCCGCTGTGTTCCTACTACCTGACTACCCTCAGTCCAAGAGTGGAAGTGCCATGTGGACTATGACGGAGGACATGCGTAAGGTTGCCCAGGTCCGAATTATCGCCGATAGAGTCTCCGAAGTTGAGATAAAGTCTACCATTTGGACTGGTGTCAAGCTTACAGTCATCGACTATAAGTTCTGGCTCCTTACTGGTGTCAACATCGCCATCTCGGCTGCTTACGGTTTCTCCAACTTCTATCCAGCTATTGTCCGTGGGTTGGGCTATGACAGGATCACGGCACTTCTTCTCACTTTTCCACCGTACTGTGTCGCTGCGGCTACGTCCATTGCTGTAGCTTGGAACTCTGATCGTGTTGGAGAGCGTGGATGGCATTTTTCGACTCCTATCGCCGTTGGTCTCGCTGGCTATGTCATCTGCATGATTACAACGGCGACTGTTCCTCGATACTCAGCTTCGTATCTGTTTATTGGAGGCCTGTTCGGTGCCAACCCTCTGATTCAGACGTGGCTGTCTACTACCCTAGCCCGTACTCCGGAGAAGAAGGCTGTCTCTGTGGCCCTCTGTAACGTTCTCAGCCAGATTGGCAACGTTATAGCGCCGTTCTTCTTCATTGACTCGGATGAGCCTCGATACCGCCTGGCATTTATCCTCATGTTTCTCATGGGTAGTCTTTGTATCACCTTTGCTTTGACCCTCAAGTACTGCCTCTGGAGGGAAAACAAGAGATTGTACCGCGAGGCACAGGAGAATGGAACTCCTTACATGCCGTATCTGCAGTAGATTGGTCCTATCCATTAAGCATGAATTTATATATAGAGGCCTCATTTATGGGACTAGGATGAATATTAAATCATTGGCTTAGCGCCGCGAATCCTGCAATTTTCAGTGATCAGTTTATGCATTGCGCTTGGTTAAGTAGTTTTGTCAACAGTAAACAAGTAAGATTCTTTGTTAAACTAAAGCGTGCTGCTTGACAGATTCGCTCTCCTAAGAGGCCACAGTATTACAGTTAAAGTCTTTAACGCTTATACGTATGTTCGTATTGCAAATCAGTTGTTGTGAGACAAACTTCACTCATGTGACATGTTGAGTTCCCTATCCGTGCGGACGATCAACTTGTAGTTCAAAATCTTAAGTACATTGTGAAGACTCAGGCTTCAGTTGAGAGTCAAAGATATTTATATACGTAAGAATAAAATCCCCATTGAACCTCCAATCTCATCACTCGGCTATCAGGATACTTAACAGTAGTTCTGTCCGTTACCCTGGAAAGTTCCAGACTGATAAGCACCAGCAGCGTTTCCAAGACACTCGGCTGCAAACATGTTAGCATTGAACCATAACTCAAATTACAATAATGTAACTTACCAACAGTGACGATCTTCAGGTTGTTCTGTCGTGCCCAGTTGATCAACCAAGGAGTCAATGTGTTGACAGTGCTGGCATAGGTCTCGTGCATGAGAGGGATGTGGCCGTTGCCACCGGCGCCAGCCTGCTGGAACTTCTGCTGGCTCTGCTGAGCAGACTGACCGTTCCAGTCACCAGAGTCGACGTCGTTGGTGATGACCTTATAGCCAAGCTGCTGCATGGTGGGAAGGACGTTGCCGCCAGTGGCGAGGTAAGGAGGACGCATGTAGGCGGGCTTCTTGCCAATGATGTTGACCATGGCCTGCTCAAACTTTTGCATCTCCTGCTTCAGCTGGTCGGTGCTCAGACTGCCAAAGTTCTGGGGGTGGGTCCACGTGTGACTGGCGATTTGGTGGCCAGAGTTGTAGGCCTTCTTGACGGCGGCTTGGTTGTTGTACACACAGCCGTACAGCTTGCCGGTCCAGAAGAATGTGCCCTTGGCGCCGGCCTGGTCAAGGATGTCGATCAGTTGGTTGGTGTATTGACCAGGGCCGTCATCGTAGGCGAGGGCAAGAACGCCGGGCTTGGAGCATTGGCGAATGACTTGTCCGGCAGCCTGACGGTTGAAGATTTCGATAGGGTCCTCAACAGCAGCGGCAGCGACATTGCCGACAAGGAGGAGGCTGCTGAGAGCGGTGACAAGGAAAGACTTCATTTTCGAGTAAGTATGTACAGGAATTTTCGGAGAAACAAAGAGTGGATGGATGGTTGCCAAGCAAGATTGTTTTGTGCCAAGCTGGGCTTATATAGTTCTAATTGATCTCCTCACCAAGATATCAACCCTGGTTAGATGTCGCATCAAGCTGGATCTTTCAGTTGTGAAGTGGATATTAGACCCATGTCCAAAGTGGCCTATCGGAAGATCTTCTGACGGGACAACTGTTCAGGCTAAACTCGATGATCCCTGTCTTCCCCCCCCCTTAACTCATTAAACTACCGCTGTACCCCAGTTTCTCAACGGGTATTTCCAACTTGTGGACAGATGATAACAGCCGAGAAGTGTTGGACTCGTCGGCATTAATGCCATGTGGCTCGATAATGCGGAGATTCGATGTTTAGGTTGCCATTCTGAGGAGACTTGAGTCCCAAATGGATGGGACGGGCATTCATCCTCCGGCATTGAGTTGATCTCGGCTAAAATGGGACCACTTCCATCTATGACAAGTTGTTTCAAGATCCGGAGATGAAATACCCCGTCTGTTTTGGAAATCCGGCTCAACGTCCAAGTGTCTGGGTCTCCGCTGGCCAATGGCGTTCTGCGACAATTGCAATCGGTAAAGTCAACATCATCATAAATCAAGCGTTATTGAGGTTATTTTTCCTGGTCAGTAAATCGCTGAAACTCGTGATCTGCCCATGTTTCTAGCCGAGGGGCAGATGAAGACCCTGGCTTGTTCTGCGTGCGCAGCATGTCTGCCAGGAACTGCCTGTTTCGCCTTTTTCCGTAACCTACCCTATCGCTTGGAAGCCATAATCAAGAAAACATGGCTTTAGATAACCCCAACAATCAGTAATTGGTACGAAGATTTTATTTCATATAGCAGAACTTTTTGCTTGAAAACATCTGTGTAGTCGTTTATTTCGCAATTGAATCATGGACTTGGCTAATCACTCCTCCCACAAACACAGACACGTCACATGACACCTGAAAGACTGCCTCGTCTTACCAACATCCATCAGCAAGAAATAAGATAGGTGAAGCGTGGAATAACGCAATTTTTCTGCTGTTAATTGACAGTATACCCAAGTCTTGACATCTACTGGATATCACAACGACATAATGTTTTATATTTTGCTGTTTTGTGTACCCAGAAGCATGGGAGATGCCAGCCAATCCTGTTGACTCATTAGCACTAAGTACGTACCTTAGGACGAACTTGATGGCGCGGAATGATAGCGGAATGAGCAAACGCGAAATCCACCACCCAAACGGAATTACATATTTCAACCCACCTCGCTAGACCGTCCAGGGTTAACTCGTCTGTCGCGCTAATCGCCTTTTTAGCTTGGTTCAAGTATACGTGCAACGCGATGCGGGTTTAAAAATGAACAATGAACCATCTGTTGTCAGTGGTTATTTTCCCAAGACAGAGCATAACAGAAAGGATCTCATGAGCTTTGAGTTTCTCTGTCCAAGGTAGGCAGTGGTAAGGTTGTTCAACCAAGCAGCCTCACACGTGACTGGGAGCTCCACTAATCACGGCTCTGCATTTGCTGACATTATCACTCAAAAGGAATAAATACATCTGTGATAACCAGCTATTAACATCGTATTGATCATGTAAATGGGGGTCTTCGTAACCCTTGTGTTTCTATCTAAGAAGCAGGAAGTTCCTGCTTTTAATAAGGGAATCGCTGCACGGGCTAATCCCTCCTTAAGAATAGCTCAGTCTGGCATATCTTATCACCTTGTAAGACTAGCAGGGGCATTTCCAATAACATCAGTACCATCAATTGACATGTATTGAGCGTGTGAGAACGCCTGGACTCGCAATAAATGTGATCGAAATATATGTCTTGCGAATTTCATGAAATTCAAACCATGCTGTCAATCCCTTCGTGTTTGTTGTCGTCGTCTACAAAAATCCGCATTGGTTTTCCTGAGTTGCTTTTGCTGTTCTAGCTTGCGTTGATGAAGTAAAAGTTAAATCCGAAAGCATGAAGATGGGGCACATATTGAACGAATCCTTTCAAGAAAGTTACTACCACGCTGTTTCTTTTACCACAGCTTTTTCCTGGTCATGGGAGTCTGTACTGAAGGCCTCCTCTGCTGTCCTCGTCTTGAGAGACCCAAGCTTGTGCAAGGGCTGTCCACTTGCGAAGAGCTGATCCACCTCTTCCAAACTTCGGCCCTTAAGCTTGGGAATAAAAAAGTAAGCAAGAATGACCATAGCTACACAAATGCCGCCGTAAAATAAACCCAACCTTGGCTCCAAGCGCTGCATAAGGCTTGCTAAGAAGATAAGGAAGCGTGAAGGATGTCACAAAGGTGGTCAAGACTGAGATGAGAGAGGCGAGGAGGTGGGTCTTCTCCTTGATGTGACTCGATGCGGCTTCAGATACGATCACGTAGGATATGGGAGCCCACGAGAGTGCATAGGATGCAGAGAAGAGCATAAAAGAAGCGACCTAGGATAGATTAGTAAAAACAGCACTAAAAAGAGACATCGTTCATGATTGAAATACTTAAAAGGCTGTTCCTCTGTGTTTCGTTCGGATTGGCAATTGTCCCGACAGAGCCCACAACAAAGAGGAAGATTGCCATACCAGTGCCTTCAGTAAGCAGAAGTAGTCGTCTATTCACCATGTCGACAGTGTACGATGTAATGAGCAGACATATAAGTCCGAGAAAGGAGTTGATGACAGAGAACAAAAAGCTTCTGTGCCCGAATCCCTGAGAGAGGTAGAAGATAACCGAGTATTGTGAGGCAAATGCCTGACCCGTGATTTGCTGCTCAAACATGGCCAGGATGGCAACCATCGTGCGGGATCTGTTTTTTGGCATTCAGTAGTTCGGTCCATTTACCCTTGTGATCCGTCGAATGGGCATGTTGAATGGCTCGTATCTCGAACTCAATGTTCTGTTCCGACTTGTCCTTTCGAATTCGACCCAGAGCTTTGGTGGCTTCTTCTACTCGATCCCTGGATAAAAGCCTAAGAAGTTTTTAGTCTGACCATTTACGTGGCTCTGACTACCGTCTACGTACCATCGAGGACTCTCTGGGACACAAAACCAGAGAATTAGAAGGAAGATGGGAGCAAAGAATTGTAATGCCACAGGAATGATCCAACCCGCGTTACTATCCATTGAAGCTGTGCCCCATGTAACAAGAGAAGCCACAAGAGAACCGAAGAGAATCATGAGTTGGAGCGATGAGGTCATCAGGCCGCGAAGGGCCTTGGGAGCTGTTCATGAGTGACAATGGCGCTGAAGGAGCAAGCTATGAGGCATATCATCTCATTGGAACCACCATCATGGATCATGTGCACAAGTACTATGATAACAGTCTGGAAAACATCGGTCGTGGAGACTCTTTCGTTTAGTACGGTGCAAGGTGGGCTCAGGCGGCTACAGCACCTTCCAGACTGTACAAGATGTTTTCCACAGGGAGTGGTTTTCGGGTACCTCTTGTGTTCAAACCCACAGCCGAAGTCGCGACCAGAGTCAAGGAAAGTGTTGTCACGGATGCGTTCTGCACGGTCATGGATATATTACCCACGATTCTTGAGTATGCGGGTCGTCAACACCCTGCTTCCTACACCGGTAGACCGGTTATGCCTCTTCGTGGCAAGAGTTGGAAGTCCTTCTTAGATCGACTAGAGAATGTGTCCCGCTACTCACCGATACATGATGAGGACTACGTAGTCGAGTTTGAAATCAAGGGATCTGGTGCGGTCCGTCGCGGAGAATGGAAAATCACATTTGTCCCTGCCCCTAAGGACCCCCAGCGTTGGGAGTTATTCAACATCAAATCAGATCCCGGGGAAACAAATGACCTCTCAGAGGCTCAGCCTGAGCTCATGGTAGAAATACTACAGCTGTGGGAGAACTACAAAACTGAGGCGGGGTTGTAAGATTGGCGAGTGAGCTTTCAGGTGTGGGTATAGCTACCCAACAAGGCGCCCAGAAGGATACTGTCAAGGATGAGATGGAGGATCCTCATTTATGAATCAAGTATATCAAGCGTCCGGATATCACACCGCCAGAGTTACGAAGTTTTGTGCCATCTTAGTGGGGTAGTAAACACATGCACCGAATGGTCTCGTTCAACTTGAAATGCTATGGATTGTTATGCTCCGAAGTATATATCCTCCTGCTGAAACACCCAATCTGGCAGGGAAAAAAGATCCCACGTTATTTCCTGAGATACATTGAACATAGCCTGCGTATAGTCTCCCATAGACGATACATGATCATCAACCGGAGCTGCAGCAGCAGACACGATGGATGAGTCCAGTAGCTGATTGACGTGCTGGTTCCAGTCCACAGATGATACGTCTTGCGTAATGTCGTAAGAAGAGCTACCAAGCGAACCAGCCAAACTTGCACGTGTCTGGTATTCTGATTAACATCGTCGTATGCTCTTCGGAATGGGGAGAGCTCAGAAAGGTAGAAAGCCTCAGAAGGGCCACTGACCCCTCCAACCTCTCCATCTGTAAGACTGAGGGAGGGAGAACGTAAGTAGAACGAAGCTGGAATGACGTTAGGGTTGACTTACTATGTGCAGACTTTCTTACTGAGCTCATGGAACCCAAACCGAACAAGACGACGCGTAAGAGCCTGAGTCTGTATAGCATATCATACCGATATCAGCATCAGAAATAAGTACAAAGGGTAGCGAGTGACAACATACTACTCGTCCAGGAATCAGCGCACGATGTTGTTCGCTTACTACCTTCATATTGGAAGTGATGTTGTCTATCAACTGTTGTCGTATACCAACATCATTCTCAGCATCGACCATCGAAGCGGCATATATGATCATGATCTTGGTCGCTTCATAAACGGTCATATGAGTCGTACAGTCTGAGAATAGAGGACGTATGTTCTGAACCATCATACCCAGGATCCGGGTTACGAACGCAGCATGGTCTCGATAAAGGTTCTGACACTGAAGTGTAAATGGGAGAGGTGCCATAGGAATGCTGAAGCGAGAGGGAAATCGAACCCGGGAATGGAAATTCGTATTAGATCACACACAAGGGTATGGTAGGTCAAATGAAGTTGGAAGAAGGGCTATAAAGTGTTCAGCTCCTTATAGACGTATATACTTAACTCTGTGAGTTGGAGCTGTGTTGAGATCATGTTCGGCCATGCTTGCAGAGCATGTAATGCTTTTAAAAAGGGTGACTGAGGGCTTGAGATGTCCATCCCGCCAGGGCTTGTTCGAATGAGACTCAGATTTACTGTTAGTTAGGGTGCCAAGAAGAGGATTAATAGTGCCTCACCGGAGTACTCGGGTCCTCAAGAACATAAGAAATAAGAGGTTAGATCTTAGATTGTATTTCTGTACCTCTTCTTCTGACGGAAGTGTGTCAGAATGGCTAGGTAGAAGTACATGACCGTCACGGGCAGTTGGCTGAGAGACAAAACACTGGTCAGACATGGGAAGAGGGATCTGTGGCGTCAACGAGCAAATTGTCGGAGCATAAGAGAGAACCTAACCGCTCTCCGGAAGTTCGAATTCCTGACAACTCACCTTTAACAATTCAACAACAATATCTTTTTACATGCACTTCAGTTTGAACAAACAAATAACAGTTAATATCAACACTAGTAGCTGTTCAGCATGAAGTTAGCAGTCGTTGCTCTCCTCACTGCTGTGCCAGCCATTGCGGCTACTCTAACGCATGAGGTCAACTCTGAATCCTCTAATGCGCCAGCCAGGCGTGAGGAGCATGTTCCCTCTAGGCGAGCTTACCCTACTGATAAGCATTCCAGGAGGTGGAATGCCCCCAGGGTATCAGAAAAATTGACCGCTGGGAACATAAGAAACGAAATTAGTAGATCACTTTATGCTCCTTAGGATACGGGTCTTAGACTACTTATTTCTATAGGCTAAGACTCAGGAGGAAGAAAACCAGGTGGTCCTAGAGATCAACCTAGGGGCGGAAAGCCATGTGGTCCTGTAGATCAACCCGGAGGCCCAGGAGGAAGGAAGTCTAGTGTTATAGAAGATCAGCCAGGTAGTTAGTCAGGAGGCCCAGGAGGAGGTAAACCAAGTGTCCCTGGGGGACAACGTGGTGGTGGAAGCCAGCCTAGAGGTGGAAGCCAGCCAGGTGGCGGCGGTAGACCCGGTGGTTGTAAGCTCTGATTGTACTGGCAATAGCTAGCTGTATATCAAATTGGTAGAAACAAACTTGACACAATATGAAATACTTTTGCAATTTATGATTACGCTCTACCTATCTCACTCACTTGAGAACCCTATTTCTTAATATCAAATGATTCATGCGCCGTCTCATGTCTTACAGGCCGGTTAACAAGTGGCTTCAATCCAGGAAGTGCAACTACAGTAATGGCAAGAGCCATCTCAACCATACTCAGTGGATCTAATCCCAACGTTAGAGAATAGGGTCCAATAGGAAGGGTCACAGTGCAAAGAATGAACTTACAGACAAGGTTCTCCTGTCCAGTGCCAACCTTGAGGGTGATGAATCGGACCATGGTAGTACAAATTGTCAGAGCTCCGAGAATGAAGGTGGCTGTAACACCAGTAGAAGGCTTGAGAACGCCTTGAATAAGGAGGATCAGGGGCAGAGCGTAGACTAGAAGCAATTATCAATACGTGCATGTCATCGGATTGTCCACTATCACCTACCAGCAAAGTAGCAAGCCAAATTTAAAGTGAAGTTGAGAATGAAGGGCTCAGGTGCATAAAAGACACTGCAAGCACCCTCTTCTTGGGACCATTGGACAGAAACATCCTTTCCACAGAAAAAAGTGTCGTCAAAGAGAATGACCAGGTACGAGATACAGACAAACGCAGTGATGCCGTACAAAGTCTTTCGCATGGCGGAACTGACACCGTTGGAGGGCAGGAAATATGCCCAATAGAAAGCCAGCATACTCAGTTTGGGGAACCCCATTCCAAAATCGTAAAAGTAGTTTGAGGCAAACGAAATCTGGGCATTTACATTAGTTACCACCCTATGGTGATTCCGCCTTGATAATCATACCTTTGACAGCTTGACTGAGGTCTCGTATTTATCCAAGACGCCCATCTGATATGTAAGTGTGTCGCAGATAATGAGAGCCAGAGCATTGAGAGCTGAGACTATCAAAAGCCAATCTGAAGCATCGAGTTTTTCGCGAGCACGGAACAGACGAGCGTAGATTCGGAGGCCGACGAAGAGGTAAGATACTGCCAGAAGGATCCACTCCGAGATCTGGAAGGACGTCAGCACAAAACAGAAACAGAGTGCAATACAAGTGGGCGAAATGGCTTACCATGCAGTCCTTTCCATCAATAAAGAATGCCATGTTGAGTAGTGACGATTGAGAATTAGACAATGAAAGGTAAATATTGAGATTAAGGGAATGAGAGACGTTGAATAAGGCAGATCCGGTTTAAACTATTAAAAAAAACATTTTCCTTTTATCTCGACCCTTGCGATGTTGGACACCACTTCGAACAAAAAAAGAACCCACCTCGGTTACGGGAGAAAAGCCAAACAGGTTATCAACAGCGCAGAGTGTGACACAAAATGGTCTTTGGGAGATGTGGCACGATAATATCCGCTGCATATGTGTGGCGCATATTCGGACCAGAATGACCAACACCAATGGCCGGAAATAATTGTACCAGAAAGTCCCTAGAAAAAGAAATGAGTAATAATAGGTTTTCTGCGTCGTCCATGGGTTGAAACGGAGAAAAAACTGGGTTGGGTTCTGATTGGCGTGGGAGACCCCGGGCAAAAATGAGATTTAGGCGAAATCATTGGCTCGCGGCTTCTTACCCGTTGGGACCGGTAAGCCGCAGACCCTGCACAACATCCTGACACATGATTTGGAGAGAGTAATTGAGACGTTGCATTTGTTGGTTGACAGCATGTAAAACAGCGCAGGAGAGAGGCAAAGCTTCATTTACACACCAATGGCGAACTACGGACGCACACCTCGTGTACGGAGATTATTCTTACTTTGGGTTTCTATGCCACTTTGCACGGAATGGATGGGAGACCAACTGTGCGAAAGGATGAATCCTGTAATACCTAACAATTCTTTTTTATCCATATAAGATCATCATCTTGAAGGATGACCAATCGCAATTTGTTATATCCCTGGTGGTTCCCCGAAAAACTCCTGTGTTATATTGATTGCTTACCCCTCTGACGGGGGCAAAAAGCATTTTTCTGGAAAGATGGTATTATTCCGTTCCAACCCCTGCTCTCCTCTCGGTTCTCTTCCAATCACCATCTTCCCTTGATTGATAAGTCACGCTTACGCGGGCCGACTTGTAGATCCCTTGGAGGTTATTCAGCTCCACTTCACTACCCGAGTCTTCCTCAGGGACTGCTGCTACGCGTGCAGTGGTCCCATAAGGCTCAGCATGGTGATCCCGGCCGCTAGAAAGCTTGTTGAAATGACTCGACGAGGTAACCGTTGCTGAGTGCTTGTGATATTCTGAACCCGTTTGTGTTGTCCCTTGTTTTGTGGAGCGTAGACCGAAGCCGTGGAGGAGAGACTTGAGTGCAGGAAGAGACACCACGACGATCGCAGCCGCTAGCTCAGTCATCGACAACACATCTGAGCTCAAGATATAAGTAAGTGTAATCAACATAGTGATAAAGGATCAATACTTACAAACATTAGTCCATGCGTGAATTGTATCGATGGTGACAAATCTGCCAATACTTGCTCCTACTGTGATGATCCCCGATGCAAATATGGCAACAAGACCTGCCATGTAGCGCCGACTAAGTTGAAGGCCGAAAAGGAGAGGAAAAGGTAGAAGGAAGACTGCGTTCCCAAGTCAGCGCAGTATTATGGAAGTAAGGTGATGATAACATACCCAAGATGTCTGAGACAAGGTTCATTCCCCAGTCAATGCGAAAGACCATCTTCGATGCGAACGTGCTGCAGTCACCCTCTGGATCCCAATTGACCGCGACATTAGCACCGCACCAGAAGGTATCCAGGAAACATGTTGTTATCATGAACAGTACAGTCAATACCGTGCTTGTATAGAGGGCCTTGCGCAGCAATGGGAGTGTCTGTGGAATAAGCTTGAAGTAAAGTGCCAGCAACGCCAATTTTGGTAGATAGATTCCAGTATCATAAAAGTAATTCCCAGCAAATGAAATCTTGGCCAAAGCGATCTGGTCTTCGATGCTTCGTGGTGGCGCTTTCGGATCGTATTCGTCCATTCCCCCCAAGTTATACGAAGCTGTGTCGGTTCCAAAGAGAGCAGCAGCGTCGATCCATGATGCGATGAGAAACCAGTCGCTAACAGTGAGGCTCTGGCGTTGACGGACGGTTCGAAGAGTTAACCGTGCAAGAACAAGGACTGATGCTACCCCGAAAAGCACGGCCTCGATGGGCTGCAAGATCATGTAGCGTTAGCAAGCGAGCTTGATCCAGGAAAGGATTTGCAGTGTGGAGTTCGATTGGGACTTACCACGACGGCCTCTTTAGCGACGCCAGGCATAAGTAGGGAAGTCAACAAGATAGCAACTGTCACTAGCTTTATCAATGTTATTGGTTTTGATCATGAGTTCACTCTTAACGAAGACGGGACTGGCGTCAATTAAATCCAGAAGCCCCTCCCGTGTTGTCTGACATACATGAAGGCTGTGGGTGGCATGTCAAACGTCAAATAAAGGTTCAATCTACATCAGCACACCCAAATTTTAGTCTACAGGCTAGAACGGAATTTACGATCTGTTTTGTGTGAACGTTCCGTGAAAATAATCTCGGAGCTCGCATACGCTCATTCAGTTTCATGCCAACTCCGGAACTTTTGCAGAACAAGCATATGCATCTGTCTCAAAATGGTAGAAATAAGGGGTAAAAGGTGCTTATTCTCGGCTGTTCACTTACGCGGCTTTATTTGAAGACTGCCGTTGGTTAGCCCGTCTGCAAAGTCTGCAAAAAGAAACGGCAAAATGCAAGACACATGCATCCACTTCTCGCTTCACAATGTCCAATCTGATGGCTATAAAAGTGGCAAGGTTGACGAAACTGCCGTCGGATGACAGTGGAATTCTCCAAACGAAGCTGTTGGTCAACTTTAAGACTAAAGTTCCTTGTCACGCATTGAGATTTCTCATTTCGGCCCTTCGAAGCACGATGGTGCGGCACCGAAGTGACCAACTCGACGCGTTTACGGCACGGTTTGAGAGATTCCCAGGATATGGAAATTGTGACAAAATACCGTTGCAGTGATATCTGGCTAATGGTGTGGCTAATGGTGGCGCTAGAATCTTCAATGAAGAGTTGGGAGTGTCGGGGCGAGTTCCGAAGTGATCGACATGAAGAAGATGTGTGCAAGAAATTTCATCCATGGGAATCCAAGCTTAGGCATGCTAATTAATTGCGGTTGAGGCGATTGCGACTGTCAGTGCGTAAATCGCAGTGACATGGATGACAGAATAAGTAGTTCGGTTCCCCGGGCTATAACCATACTCTTGACTAATTTGTTTTGTCTGCTAATCAATCTGTTACCCGCACTATGACAGCTGGGTGGGTCGTAATACCGACTCGCTTACCCTGCAATGTTGGTCAAGCCGAGACTAGGACAAACGACAAATCTCGACCTGCCAGAGTGACAGCGTTCTCGGCCTGACCGACCCGCTACAGCTAATCGTAGAAGTTGAATTGACGCTCCTGTAGTTGGAAAAGGTCACGAATTATGTCCTTTCCATTAAGAAAATCTTGCAGTTTTTACAAGCTCATATATAATTATAAAAAAAGAAAATATAGAATAAGACAGAGTATTCTCTTAGTAAACACTTTCCCCTCATGATAGTTTGTCAGTACTTTGTCATATTTTATGAAGAGCTGTAAGACATACAATTCCATATTCAGGGTAGTGATTTCTGTCCAGTTTCGCTTTGCATTGACGCAAGATTACGGACAAAGCTTATCCCTTCCCTAACGGGATTTTTAGAGCCCCATTCGAGAGGGTCAAGGCACGTGACCGATGACGACTCGGACGCCATGGGTTCGAACTCCATTACCCCCGTAGTAAGCACCTATTATATTAATATACATCAGTCTTTAACTTGGAAAAGTAAGTTTCGTCATATCTATCGCAGAGAGTCTAGTTATTATATAACTGATTACATACTGTGGTCAGAAAAAACTAAAGGTTTACGTTTCAAAAACATCGATTTAACTGATAGACAAGTTGTAATATCATGAGCCAGGCAATGGACAGAACTATATTGTAAGCTGCGTCTATGTCCCTGACTTTACGCCAAGTCTGAATCCATCAAATGAAGATAACACCAACTAGTTATAAGAAGAAATGTAAAATATGTGCATTGACAACTGGCATATTATATGCGTTGGGTAGCTCAACTGCAGGACTGCTCGAAGCTACATGTTGGGTCGTTTGATGTGCGTAGGCCCCTAAAGATATCAAGAGGTCGATCTCGACCGTTCATCGATGTGAAGGTGCTGCGCCTGAGCATTGCGTCGTTAAGCCCGTCGAGACGTCATTTGATAGTCTAGTCGTCGTGTCAGGACGCATGGTATGATCCGAGCGGTTTATTATCTAGAGCTTCTTTGTTGTCCTTTGATCGTGTCGGTTACTTAAACTATTTTCAGTTTCGGCCTCAAAAAAGGCTTCGACACGAGCGGAGGTGCACAATTAACTGAAGTCTGGTGGAGTACGGTAAGCCAAAAGGGAGGTTCGGTAAGACACGTTCTTCACAAAGGGCATTCCCAAATTGCGTCGCGTTACGTTTCTACCGTCCATCCGACCAATTCAGAGATCCCGTCGCGTGAAACGATCCTACCGGTCTACCATGTCAACAATACAATAATGAATTCGCGTGCTATCCCTGGTTGTGTATTCTATGCTATATAGAACATTGGTCCAGTTCTGCCATTGCATAGAACAATTCATCACCATACCTCAATTCGGTATAAGAGCAGAGGCCTAATGGGAAATTGCAGCCAAGACGGCCTGAACATTTGTCGCCACCCTAAGCTTCATCAGGGACCTGAAGGATATCCAAAGACAAAGACTCATTTCAGTATATCAGGTTCCGTGTTGGGCTTACGGTTATTCGAAAGATCGATGGCGAAATCTTGTGAAAATCTGTACATTTAGCGACCAATTCAGACCATGTATGATTTGGCTTTCTGGCCTGTGTAGCGAGCCCGGATCTCGCTCTCGGAAGTAGTATGCGAACTTGCGGGGTCCGGATCTCGTCCCCTGGGAGGTTTGCGCTACGATTTCCAGGGTAAAGCATGGAGTTGTTGCCGCTAACAAGGATGTACCGCACAATAGCTTGAACGTGTCAATCATCCCAGTTATCACGACATCTTTGATACTGAATTCCATTTTATATAAATTATCCTCAAGCAGCATTATTGTGCATTAGTTCAAATAAGTAGAATTTGCCATTCATCATGGGCGTATTTACCAAGTTTCGATACTTTAATCGTCGACTCACCTTGTCGTGTGTGCTTATTGCTGTATCAACTTTTAACTATGGCTTCGACAATCAAGCTTTCGCCACCACCCAGGCGATGGATGCGTTTGACAAACAATTCGGTGTTTGGAATGAAGTAACTAAGACATATATTCTTGAGCCATCTTGGCTTTCGTTATTCAATAGCTTGAATTACATTGGCTTCGCAGCTGGTATGTATGCCTGAATCATGATAAGGTTAACGAGCTTACACGTTCAGGTGTTCTCATTGGGACTTGGATTTCTTCGCGATGGGGCCGACGTTGGTGTATGTTTATCATGAGTGTATATGCTCTTGGTACGGCTACCATCGCCGTGACTTCTTTCCATAGAGAGCAGATTATGGCAGCCCGGATTCTCAATTACGTCTACGTTGGCATGGAGCTTGGTGTTGTTCCAACGTTCCAATCAGAAATTGGTATGTTGAATCTCTACCTATCACAATTACACAACTAATGAAGAAAGTCCCGGCTCAAGCTCGCGGGTTCATGGTCGGGTCGTACCAACTTAGTTTGGCAGTTGGCGGTCTAGTCATTAACAGTATCTGCTTTGGGACGAGTTCCATCCCTGACAACCGCGCCTGGCGCATTCCACTCGGAATGTTCTACATTGTTCCATCAATCGTCGCCGCATGCATTTGGTTCGTTCCAGAATCACCTCGTTGGCTGCTTCGACAGAACAGATTGGAAGATGCGCGTAACAGTCTGGTCGAAATTCGCCAAGGTGCTTTCACAGACGATGAAATTGATGCTGAGTTCCAGGAGCTTCAGATATCTTTGGAGCAAGACCCAGAGCAGGGTCAATTTGTTGAGCTCTTTCGAGGGCTCAACGTGAAACGAACTCTCATTGTTATTGTGATTAACTTCTTTCAGCAGTCCAGCGGCCAGGCGTTTGTATCTCAATATGGTGCGGTCTACGTTAAGACTCTAGGGACTATCAATCCATTTGGATTTAGCTTAATCACTTCAGCCATCAACATCGTCACAATTACTTGCATTCTTCTTTGGGCCGATATCGTTGGGCGACGGTATGTACCCTGACCTTGACGCGCAGGTGGAGCTAACGAAGTTTAGAGTTCTTTTGATCGCATCATCTTGTACCATGTTTGCCGCCATGATCACCATGGGAGGGCTTGGTATCGAGTCTCCTGTTGATGATGCGAGAAAGACTGGCGTGATAGCCATGATGGCTATCTTCGCCTGCGGATTCTCACTCGGGTGGGCACCACTAGTCTATGTGGTTACTACTGAAGTCTCTGCTCTCCGTCTTCGAGATCTTACTTCTCGTGTTGGCTTCACAACCAATGTTATCATGAAGTCCGTCCCAATCTCAATTCTGTATGTCTAATGCTAATGAAGTTCTAGTTTCACCGTCAACTTCAGCATCCCATACCTCACCTTCGATAAGTACACCGGCCTCAACAGCAAAGTCGGTTTCATCTTTGGAGGGATGATGGCTCTAGCCATTGTCTTCGTCTACCTTTGCGTACCGGAATGTAAGGGTAAGACTCTAGAACAAGTAGATTTTCTATTCAATCAAGGCATACCTGTAAGAGACTTTGGAAAGGTGGATGCTGCCGAGTTAATGCGCTCGGTACAGGGAGAGGACAACTTGTCAAAGGTGCATTCTGGTCATGACAAGGCCGCTACTGTAGCAGCAGAAAACCGCGTGTAGTCGTTGGAGTTGAATGTGTTGGAACGTTTAATGCGGACGGGTGAAGGAAAGGATATATATAAATTGTAACTATCTAATACTCAGACGTACTGGTATCGGTATAGTTATTCATTTGTAGATCAAACAGGTCCAAAGGGAATCCGAGATCCTGATTTCCAAATACCATATCAGTTGAGTTGATGGAGTCATAGTCAATAAATGGAAACCCAAGCGACGCAAATGAGTCAAGGGATGTACCTGCTATTGACTCCGTGAGGTCTTGGTTCTCACTTGAAATCGGAAAAGACCAGATATCATGTGCAGAAGAATTTCCGCCAGGTGGCATACCAATATCTGGGTGACACAGGCTCTCATCTAAACTTGGGTCCTGAGCTCTGACAGCGGGATCTTCTTCTTCCTCATCTTCCGGTGCAAAAGCATGCTTAGAGCGACGATGCAGCTTTTCTTGTAGCCGTAGTGCTCCAGGAGATGCACTTCTATGTAAATGTCAGTACGGCATTAGTCTAGATGTCGATATTGTAAACGTACGGTGAGCTGGGTGATATATATCTTGTCCCCAATCTTGATATGAGATTCTCAATGTCAGTGACCTATGAGGTTGTTAGATTGTAACTCCTGACAAAGCGGAACTTCAACTCACACAAGAGGCAATCAACTCGGCCTCGGGTTGGTTTTGAGATATAATAAGTAAGATCTCAGTGAGTTTTTGCTTAATGACTGGCAGAGAAGATTCTCCACTCGAAGGAAGCAAACTGGCTAAACTATCGATCATCTTGACGAATTGATACATCACTACAGAAAATGTGGTGGTTCCAAGATGACTCTTTGTCCCCATGTGTCGAACTTTAGACCACATGTCGATAAATCGTAAGGCGGTCTGGAGACACTGACGTTGGCAATACTCTATGTATGCTCTTGGTGTTTGATCCACTGCCTTGGGTGATACCGCTTCTCTAATACCTGGGGTCAAGAATCGATGAAGATCACAACGAGAACTCAACAAAACAGTATGGAGTGTTGTGTACGTGCGTGCCTCATCTGAATAACACATTAGCATGAGTCTATTGTCATCCCGCTGCAGCTCTTCAGGCAAGGACTTCTCGAAAGACGCAAGTTCGAGATCTAGCGAGCGTAACTGTCCACGGCTGTCATAGGGAGTTCTTCCACTGAGAATAACGTGTCGAGTGTATCTTGGAGAGTATCAGCAAGTGTCTTGCAGAACGATCTCATATCTTACCTTAGGACTCTATCGCGAATGTCATACAGCCGGAACAGATTTGCCAACGAATTCAGATCAGTATCCCTGTCGTTTTTTATTCCCAGGAAAGGCGCCTTGGACTTTAATCCAAGTTGGAAGTCATGTTGGCTGCAAGGGAGTCTAATGTGTATTCTTTGTGTTGGACAAACGGTCAAATCTTCAATACCCCCGGAGAAGATCTTGTCAACTGCATATATTGACCACATTATTCGTCGAAGACATTCTTGTCTAACAGGATCAATAGATGGACGTTCATAATTGAGTCGTTTTGTGAACGCGACCCTGGAGGCAACAGAGAGTAACATCCAAACGTCCCCGGCAAAGCGCATCGAAGAAAGAAACTTGACAACAAGCATCAAAGCTTGAAGTTTGGGTACTGACATATCGCCCATGTTGTTAACCAACGCGTGCTGAACTTGCGTCATCCACGTATTCGCTGTTGCACTATCTCGTCCTTGGATAGGTGAAAGCCGTATTGCGGAAGCACAAATGGCTTTCAGTAGTGTGGTATCGAGTTTCCCTTGACTCCACTCAGCAATTGTAGTGGCTCGATGCAGGAATATACAGTCTGCGATGTCGATGTTGTCAAAATATGTATCAAGGTATTGTTTGATCATATCTCGATTTTCGTGGTTAAATATCCTAAATCATAATTGATGAGTGTGTGTACAATTAAGCACAAGACTACTAAATACATACCGGCCAGCATCTTCAGCCACGACATTGGATATGTCCATTGAGGAATCCTGACTGGGGATTGATCCATGTCCTGTTGGGAGAGTACTTGCCGAAGGCATAGGCGACTCTGTACCAATGTTGAAACTTGATACTGCATGACTACCCCCGAATTGACATTCGTGTCTTTGTGCTTGGCATCGGGCACAAGGCTTTGTCCCCGAACACTTGGCCTTCGCCAACCGGCAAGAATCACACGCGCGCAGAATCCTCCGCCTCTTGATTCCAGCCTCAGTCAAGTCTTGGCCAACCAATGGCTCGGGAGTATCTGCCACATAGCTACAAGTCAACTCCAACCTCTCGCAGCGCATACACCCTAAGTTTCGGCGATCACATTTGACCTTCCAATTTGTATCAGTGGAGTACCCCGCAAAACTCCAAAGAGTACGAACCTTTCTAGCGCGGCATTGTTTGCACGCGAATTGCTTAGGTTGCGGGGGGCATTCAACCTGGTTCGGAGAATTGAGAGAGTCCATAGCGAGATCCGGGCGACTTCCAGGTTGTTTGAATGAGTGGGCATTAATTGGTTTTTACAATGGTCAATCGTGAGCACGTCAACCGGGGTCTAAATGGCGAGGGGCGAGATCCGTGAGATGTGGAGAACGACATCCGCGGCCAGTGAGGAGCCAGTTCAGTCATGTGAGAGTTTTGCGATCATGACTAGACAGATAACTAACCACACCAAGAAAAACAACAATTTAAACTTATGACTCTTGAGTAGACAAAATTGAAAATGTCTCAATTTCATTCACTTCCACCAAAGCCTCTGCCATTAATGGTTGACTCTAAAAATGGAGGAGACAAACCGAACTACATTATTTTCATGCCCGATCAATTGAGATATGACTCTCTTGGCTGCACAACCTCTCCCAACTCTGGCATTAAAACTCCAAACATCGATGCATTTGCTGCACGGGGAAGTCTCTTCACAAACTGTTTCACGCAAGCGTCTGTGTGCTCCCAGTCACGATGCAGCATGTTCACAGGAACATACCCTCATGTCAGCGGTCACAGAAGTCTTGAAAATCTCATCAAGCCATGGGAACCCAATATCTTTCGCAGTTTGAAAGAATCAGGATATCACGTGGCTTGTCTCGCACCTAGAGGAGACACTTTTGCACCGACTGTGACCGAATTGAGTCTCAGTGAATATGGGTTTCTTGAGACACCGGAGTTTGTGCCGAAGTTTGCTGGGGGTGGAAGGGAGGTCGATGAGAGTATATGGGGGCGTTTATTTTACCGAGGGCTAAGAGATGCGGATAAGACCATGGACTATGATGAAGCGGTCGTGCGATCAGCTTTGACGTGGTTAGACTGCCCACCTCAAGATCAGCCTTGGGTTTTATTCATGCCGCTCATCTTTCCTCATTGCCCATTTCAGGTTGAAGAGCCTTATTTTTCCATGTACGATCGCTCAGAGATTTCTGATATTGAGGCAAAATTGGAGAAGAAGACTGGGTATGAGCCGCGATATATGAAGGCGATTCGTGAGAAGTACGGGACGCATCGGGCAACGGATGACATTTGGAAGGAGATCAAGGCGACATACTATGGCATGATCTCTAGACTTGATGATCAGTTTGGACGAATGCTCAAAAAGGTGGATGACCTTGGCATTTGGAAAGATACTGTCACTATGTTCTTTACTGATCATGGTGAATATCTTGGTGACCACGGACTTATCGAAAAATGGCCTTCGGGTCTTTCTGAGACACTAGTCCACGAGCCTATCATTATTGGCGGTGCAGGTTTACCTGAAGGTAAGAAGATCGATGCAATGACGGAAATGGTTGATCTTGTACCGACTCTGCTCGAAACTTCTGGAATTGGGGAGAAGTTCTCTCACAATGGTTTGTCGTGGGTTCCGCTGCTGTGCGGTAATGCGAAAACGCACAAGCAGTATTCTTTCTCTGAAGGTGGATTTCTCACTTCGGAGGAGCCTATTCTTGAGCAAGCACCCTACCCATACGATCTGAAGGCGGGCCTCCAACACGAAGATACAACATTGGTGGGAAAGGCTATCTCGCTGCGTGATAAAAACTGGACCTTCATTTACCGACTTTACGAACCAGCAGAGTTGTATGACCGATCTGCTGACCCCCATGAGCTGCATAATCTCGCGGGTGATTCAGAATATAAGGATTTGGTGGATAAGTATGAGAAGGCTACATTGAAGTGGCTATTAGAAGGGGCTGATGTAATGCCTTGGACAAAAGACCCAAGATTTCCAGAGGTCAACTTGAAGAGTCCACAAGAACAGATGGAGGAGAGGTTGAAACACGTCATATAGTCACAGAAGAGAAAATGTTTAGTTGTTCACGATTTCCAAAGTCCAGCACTGACTTCCTTCGTCGCTCCATAATTCAGTTATTCATGCACTAGGTGGGGATAAACTAGAAGTTTATGCATACCATGGTACGTTTAGATCAAACAAGGAAAGGACTATATATATATTATGAACAATGTAGGACGGAGGTATGGAAGCTGGAGGAAAGTCTAAATAAAATACAGATTGCGCCGAAAGAAATTTTGTATTCAATATCATAAACCGAACTCGATTGTTTTTGAAAATCAGTAGATTGCTTGGTGGCCAAAAGGAGTAACGGCTTAGTCGAGGTCCTTCGACACCTTTTCAACCCAGCTGAAAGTAGGATCGAACCCAACATGTAACGTAACAGGTGATGTTCCTGTGATATTACGAAACATAACCTCCCGCTTGGGAATACCTGGTAATGTGAACTTATCGGGTTTAGATATTCCTTTTCCACCCTTTCCAAACTTTGACGCAATCTCATAGATCTGGCAGTTCACAATGACGCGCCGCAGCTTACAGTTATCCTCCCATCTGAAGTGATTGTCATCGCAAGACTGGTCTCGAGATAGAAATCCTTTCAGAACGGAATGTAAGAGAGGCTTTGTCGGATCATCAGAAACACGAGGAGACGCCCAACTGCTTGTGCAAGAAAACTCGATGATTTCAATATTGGAGGCCCGGGACAGTACTTTTCCTAGTTCATCCTATTGTAATATGTCAGTATATCATTATTTGTGCATCCTAGGGCCATCTTACTAGGTCATCTTCCTCTGGAGCAATGTCGATTTGTCTCAGAAGAGGCAAATTGTCAATAAGTCTCGCAATCGTAGCCGGTGTGAGGTATGGCAATTTACAACCACTAATAATACCGTTGTATGATATACTGAGCTTCTCTAGACCCTTGTGTTGGAGAATAGCCTGGATGAGGTTGTTTGGCAGGCCTGGATTCTCGGATACCTCAAGTGGGTACTGGCCATAGTCGGCAAGGTCCAGAACCTTGAGAGTATGGAAGGAACTCAGAAAACGGCTTCTGGCTTCTGTAGCTCCCTGAATCTGACTTTCAGTCACGTTGTGGCCAGAGACTGCCATGTTGACTTTTAAGCTCCGCAAGTGGACATCCAAGCCTGACGTTCTAGCTGTTGAAAACAACTCGAGCAGTTGTTGAAATAAGAGAGGAGAGTTGTTGTGCAGGTGTTCAACCAGGAGCTCTTGTAGTCCAACAAAGTCGATTGCCCTTATCAAGGATTGAACTGAAGTCGGATCAAGGTCGGAGACCTGCATACTGAATGATTTGAGACAGGTAAAGTAATGCTGGTTGTCTGCATTTTTATCTGTGCTTACAATCCGAGTCCAATCATTCAAGAACTCAAGCGAGCTTGTGCGTAAATCGAGACTTCGAAGTGTGGACCTTGAATTCAACAGAAGGGAATGAAGAATGTCTGTCTGGCCGTAGGCCTGCAGCGCTAGATGTTTGAGATTTCTGATCTCAGACAGCGGTTGGTAACTGCAGTAGCCAAGGTCGAGAGATAAGGCCTGTAGGTTTTTGAACCCGGCGATACTCTGTGCCATCGATCTACAAGAGAGGTCAGTAAATAGTAAGATTAAGCCAACGCCCCATGTTTGGAACTTACTGCGTAAGAAACAAAGCCTCAAAGATTTCGATGTTGTCCGCATTCTTCAACATTTCTTCAACATATCGATGGACGATATAATCATGGTTCCTGCCCGCCTGAACGGATCCAACGACGAGCTGACGGACAAAACTTGCGCACGCAGGCTTTTCCTGGGGCCTGAGATCGGTTGGGTAAACGTCTTTCTGGCCCTTGTAGGCACCTTCCTTCTTCAATTGCTTACGCTGTTGGATGCTCAGGTGTGGTTCAATGGTACGAATGAGTCTTCCGATATGTGCGTGAAACATGGCAGCAACGGATATGCGCCGGTAAAGCCACGGGGTGATGAGTGAGTAAAAACCCTTGCATGTCCTGCTTAATCTGCTCAATGCCGATTTTTCATTTATCTTGGAGGCTGTTAATATAAACTTGAACCTTGTTAGGGTTTCTTACATTATTCAACACCGTGGAAAATATCTCGGGCGGCAGATTCGATAACATGTTGGTCTTGGATGCACTCAAAGATTTATTGGGTCTTTGTTTCGTCTTACCTGCGGCATATTTCGTCTTGGCTGTTTTCTGAGCGCTTTTCGCTCTCGGATTTGGGTCGGATATTGTTGTTTTTCGCTTTTGAATCTTTCTCGGTTGCGGGGGGACTGCCTGTTGCACGAGGTCGACCATGTCCTGTTGATCTTCTCTCGCCTTACTGAGCCTTGAACTTCTCCTGAGCGACATATTATCTTCAAATTTTATTTGCCTAAGATAATGCCTTGTAAACGTTGTGTGAGACTTAAATTCTCGCCCTGGCTTTAGGAAAAGGGGAAGTAAGATTATCACTTAGATTATTGAAGCTGACTAAAGTATCTTTTGTCAGCAAATACAGAGCTATGATTGGTACCGTTTTCGGTCACGTGTAAGACTGCGAATCAATTAACACAGCTTACCGCTTCCTACCCTAAATAGCGAAATTCAAGTCTCGTGAAATCATCTCTGGTATGCTATATCTTGGGGAAAGTAGCTGCTAACAGCACCTCTCCTGTTGACCATTATTCCTATACCGGGCGGCTTCTGAGTTGAGACTTACATTGTTCAGTTGGTCGATTGACTTGACAGACGGTGGGCATCTCTCAACGCTGTTATCATCGCTCTTGTTGGTCTTGTATATCCTCAATCGCAATATATAAAAAACAATCTCGCGTCATTGTATTACAAATTCACCTCAGGTTTACTTTGGTTTGATGCTAGTAACTTATTCAATCAATGATGAGATACACTCAACAGTATTGTCAATTATGTCTTTGATAGAGGTGAGGCTCGGATTCTCACTAAGATCCTTACGTGTATTGACAAAAGGAACACAGACCAGTAGTTTCCAATCTTTCCTCCGCAAGAACCGAAGCCCATTACAAGTCAATATAATTCGAGCCTCTTTTGACAGGGAAATAAAATGTCATCTCGAAGAACTGGATCTAGAGTTTGGAATTACATGTTAAATCAACACTGTAACTTCAATTTTACTACTAAGCAAGTAACAATACACAAGACAGTAGGATCCCCCATAGCTTCACAAAAGCTCCTCAAATCAACCACCCATACAGTTGGCCTACTCTATTGAAACCTACAAAGCCTTCTTCAGATCATCAGGGCTTCTCGGTGTGAACGTAGCCTTGTATCTACGCGGCATCGCGACAAGACTTGTAGGATCCAAGTTACCACGAACAGGGTGACAATCGACATCATCAAATTGCTCGATCTTGACACTGTTGAGGAGTCTCATGTACAGTAGGTACAACTCCCTGTTCGCAAGCAAAGAGCCTGCGCACATGCGGTATCCAACACCATAGGTGAAGAGTGGAGCCTCGGGTTGCTCGAGCCAACGTTCGGGGCGGAAGTTCTCAGGGTCAGACCAAACATGTTCATCTGTAAATTGTCAGAAAGATTAGAGGAGAATGCGAAGAGCTGATGACTTACCCATGTTGCATGCCCATGCGTTGAGGAAGACCACAGTCCCCTTGGGAATTGTAACACCCTCGTAAACGATGTCGCGAATCGAAGCTCGCGGCAGAGCAAGTCGGAGCACAGTATAGTATCTCAATGACTCCTTGACCAAAGCGACGACATAATCGCACTTCTGGTCATCATTGACATCGCACATAGGCTCTTTCTGATTGAAGAATTTGCCGATCTCAGATACTGCCTTGTCTTGAATCTCGGGATGTTGACTCAAATACGCAACGAACCAAGCGACAAGTGTAGTGACAGTGTCCAAGCCGCCCGAAAGCATGGTGAGACTGATTGATGTGAGTTCGTCTTTGTTGAGCTTGGCTTCCTTATCCATGATGACGTTGGCCTGGATGCAAGGTTTGGAAGTACCATTCTTGATTCTCTCATCCAAACCATCATTCAAAGTAGTGAGGTACTTGTCACGTCTGTTCCTCATCTCCCTCGCCTTGGAAGAGTGGAAGTTGAATGGGTTCAGGCGGAGCAATGGAATGTAATCTTGGAGATTACCTGTCGTCGATCTGAACCGACTGATCTCTTCCTCAACGTGTGTAATCTCAGCGAACATGTCGTCCTTCTGGCTCTTGAGTCGGATGCCCCAGTTGAGAGTCAATGCTAAGGAAAGAGATAGGCGCTGGATCATTGGCATGGGATCTACAGGCGTTTTCCCGCTGTTTCCGTATTCGATCAGCTCTTTAATGAAGTCGCGTGTTTCGACGTCAAGATGGTCGACATAGGTTGCCACTGAAGGTCGATTGAGGGCGGAGGCGGCGCCCTTGCGACGACGTTTGAGAGAGTCACTGTATGGGGAAGTGCCGATTGTGGTTCCAGCGGTATCCGAGAGAACCTGAACGGGTTAAACATCAGGTTTCAGAAGCAATGGAGTGGTGTGATTTACCTTGTGAAATGTGTAAAACTCTGGTCGAGAACTCAAAGCTTGTGCATTAGCACCAAATATGTGCCTCGCAGCAGCAGCGCTGTTAACTACGACAATAGGAATATTGCCCAGCTGGATCTGATAAACTGGCCCATACTTCTTCGCCCACTCGCGATATTTCTCGGAGGCGTTGACTCTGATATCTCGAATGTTGCCAATCAAGGGCAACCCCGAAGGTCCCCCGAGATTGCTGATTCGTGCGTTGTGACGCACCAGTTCATTGATGAAGATGTAGATTAAAGGTGCGATAAAGAATGTGATGAGAATAGATTGGCCCTTGTTTTCATAGACCTTTTCGTTGAGGGACACATGTAGATTTGCGATTGTCATGTTGGATGGGATAGATTAACTTGCGTTGTTTGTTGTTTGCAGAATAGTAAATAACTACACCATGATACCAGCTGATTCATATATACATATCACGATTACCGAATATTTCCAGTTTCCCATTGAAGACGTTCATAGTGGAGCCAAGACGCTAGCTCAAGTCTCCATAACACCAAAGTATGTAGTGTTGACGCTGACTCGGAAATTCGGAAACGCTTCCGAAACCTCTGCTTAACCATGACCCCTCAATCGCCATTCTCATTCTTCGGAACTTAACTTTTTTGCGTTGACTTACCGCCATGGATCAACAGACTGCACCAGCAAAAAGCCCCAGTCAACCGGTAGTGAAGGGGAGGAAGCGGAATGCTGCCGATATAGAGTCCATTCCTGAGACAGTGGGGGCTGGACGAACCAAGAGGGGCAAGTATACCTCTGTTGCCTGGTGAGTATGGTACCAAGAATTATGATACGGACAAACAGGTTGACACTATTAGCGACGACTGTAAAAGAAAAAAACTCAAATGCATACCTATAGCAGATAACAGCAATTGTGAGCGATGTATCTCAGGTGGTTTGGTGTGCACTCTTGGTACAACTCCTGCCCAACCACCCAAGGAAAAGTCAGACAAATACATCCGGAGTCTTAACTTTGAGCTCTCACAACTTCGTCAGCAAGTCTCAGACTTGGTAGTTGTAGTACATGAACTCAAGGATCAGAACAATCGACCTCACAATCCCTCAACAATCTCACCAAACACGCGCGACAACATCGTCACTCATTCGCCAGCAAGTGCGCGTAGCCAAGTTCCACGACAACCCCAATTTGTTGGTCCAACGCAATCAGCGTTTGGAATCCTCGTCGGCGAACGTTCACTGAATCGCATAGGAGTGCCAAAGTTTGACTCAATGCCCCCAAGTGGTGTACAATCTCCTGTTGGACTTGAGACTGGTAACCCAATCAGTGATTTAGATTTCTGGAATTCATGTACAGCGAACGATGTAACAAGGTTTTTGGTCACGTTTCAGGAAGAGGTCGAAAGTGTGTATCCATTTATCGATATCGGGGAGTATGTCGCGCAGAGTAAAGAGATTCTGCAAATTCTTCAGGGAAAAGGCTCTCTGGAAGATGAAGAAACATTGTGTAGTAAGGACATTACACTTGCAAAAGTTGCAATGGCTACAGGAATTGTGTTGGATGAACCGAGCAAGATTGAGCTGACTACCGCCATCGTTGACTCTGTGGAGACGAATATCTCCAGCATACTCAGCCCGCAAGTTGACCTCAAGGAGATTCAGTTGCTCGCAATGCTGGTAAGTGTTACAATTCACCGCCATGTCTCCAAATCTCCTCCTAACAGTCACAGAGTATATACTACTTTCACTCAGGTGAAGAACTTCTCGCCTGGCGCACAATCGGCATCGCCGCACGTGAAGCCCTGGAAATGGGCCTTCATCGCAAACGTAGCTTGCTAGATAATTTCAAGGACTCTGACTCTCGCAGGTTGGCCACAAGGGTTTTCTGGTGTGTGTACGTTTTGGACCGAAGATGGAGTTTTGGGACAAGTTTGTCATTTGCTTTGGTGGACAAGGATGTTGATCCAGAGTTACCAAAACCAGTGAGTCTCAACAGGAATGCCAATAAAAAGTTTGTCTGATCCATCTAACGGATTGATACAGGATGAAGAATATCTCTATCTGCAGTGCATGGTTGGTTATGGCCAACTGTGCTCGAAAATCTGGGAAGCCATTCCACCATTTGGGTCTGCGTCACAGAGTATACCGGATGATACAGCTACAGCGTTAGACATGCAAACACAAGACTGGTTAGAATCCATTCCCTCCCATCTGAGACTTCGGCATCCACGTTTAGGTCTCGCTCCTCGCGCACAGCCCAGACTTCCCCATCGGCTCAGGGCACTTCTTTACCTCCGTGGGAACTACGCTCGAATCTTGATCTATCGACATCATCTAATGAGCACAGCCAGTATCGCGGCTAGCCCCCAAACTGCATGGCTAGTAGTCGACATTGCACAGGATACTATCCAAGTTCTGGTTCATTTGCATTCGACAACAGATATTTATTCACGGCAGCAGAGTGCGTTCAACTATTTTCTGCTTAGCGCTTTGGCTGTCTTGTTCCTGGCTGTTTGTCACGCACCGGAGACGTTCTCTGCGCCGAGTAGACGAACCTTTTCTGATGGTGTCGACCTTGTGAAAGGACTTTCAAGACACAGTATCGTCAGTAAGCGGTTGTGGAAGAGTATCAGGGGAATGGTACCAAGGATTAAAAGCTTTGGTTTCCCTACAACTCAGGTTGAGAGTCAGGGACAAAGCGAAGGAGATGGAGTAGAGACGGGCGACTCTAATGGTCAAGTTCCTCTAGCACATCTGAGTACAGTTGCTGAAGAGCAGATGTCCATACCAGCGGTGGATAATGGAGCTTTTTCTTTTGGCGATATAGTGGTTCCCGAGGGAGACTTGCTGAGTTCTGTACCCGACATGTTCCAGATGAGGAATGATCTGCTGGATCTTTTCGATGCAATTGGGCAAGGTCAACAATTCCTACAGCCTGTTCCTGGCACATTCACAGATGATGAGGAGTTCGCCACGGCTGCAGAGGAGGGACAAGATATATCAATGCGCTTCCAAGGGCTAATTTAATTATTCATTGCTTTGGTCAAACTTTATCTAGATTACTTCGTTATTAAAGTAGATCATGGCAAATCCCTGATTAACGCCCTTGGCAAAAGTCTTCAATTCCAAGTGCGCCTCGCATTGAGTATCGTAGTAGTCGAAGTCTGCCTTGGAAGAAAACGTAGAAATGGCAACAACGGTGAAACCTTGGGCACGTTCATCGGGGCTAGCCTTTCCAGCTTGGACCGAGGTGATGTAAGGTTTTCCTTCCTAGGATTCTGTCAGGACTAAACTAACGGTTGTGTCAATTCGAAATACCTTGACGGCTTTTTGAGACATCTGTTTGTAGAGATCTACGAGGTGCTGTTGGTCATTCTCAGAGGGGACTTTGAAGAGGGTGACGCGGGTAACCGGCGACATGATTGATGGCTTGAAGTTGGTTGGAAATGCAGGTTGATTGGAAACAAGTATGAATGAGTTTCGAGAACGAGCTGTCTTGAGATTATACGCGGTCCAATCGATTGGGGGTTTTATATGAGCAGATACTCGGAATATCGTCTTCATTTCCGGAAGCAGACAGAATCCCGCGTGTCCACTTACACAGCCATTCCCGAACTCACTTTCGGGCTCGGATCAGCAAGGATAAACAATTTCAGATTCTAGTGCCGGATTATTACGGTTTCAGAAGTAAATTCCTTGTATGTATATTTCTTGTGCAAGTGTCATGGTGGTAACGGCATTTTGTCCGATCTGATCATGTGATTGAGACGATCCTGTCTTTATCTTTTTCGTAACAATGAGTACAACAGTTTATGGTGAAGAATGTTTTAACCATCATGCTGTTTTGAGTTTTTGCAGAAACAATCATAACAATACTCTCAATACAATTGATGGCTGTAGTTAACCCCAGTCCAAGTCTCTAGTCCCTCGACACAGCAGTTAAGATAGTACCTGAACATTCTCCGAAGCCGACAAGCCCATCCTCATTTTCCCCCGACCAACCAGTGATGGTGATAGTATCGCCGTCCTGGACAAACTTACGCTCCTCGCCGCCTTCCAGCTGGACGAAAACCTTTCCTCCTTGCGTTTGCTCAAGAAGACTTCCCTGTGTGCCCGGTTCGAGACCAGAAATAGTTCCCGATCCAAGCAAATCTCCTGTGCGCATGTTGCACCCAGATATAGAGTGGTGAGCAAGCATTTGGGGCCACGACCACAGCAGATTCTTGGAACTTGTACGTGTGATCTTCGTCGTGTGACCTTGGTTGGCTGCTACAAGTTAGCATTGTTCTGTTTACTATGACGGATAACCATAACTTACTCGTGAGCGAAACTTCGAGATTGATATGGAGGATGGGATCCTTTCTCTTCTCGTCTAGATACTTCTGTAGTGGCGTCTCGTTCAATAGCCCCTCACCTCTGAATGGCTCAAGAGCATCGGCTAGAACAACCCAAGCGCTGATGGTTGTCCCAAAGTTCTTCGCATTGAATGGCCCCAATGGAACATACTCCCACTGCTGAATATCTCTCGCACTCCAATCATTCATAAGAACATATCCAAAGATATATTCCTCTGCATCTTCAACAGCAATTGAAGAACCAAGCTTATTACCTTTGCTGACAAACATACCGAGTTCCAACTCGATGTCCAATCTGGAACAAGGCTTAAAAACAGGGTCTTGTGATTGAGGGTTGGGAAGTACTTGGCCCCAAGGCCTTTGTAGAGGAGTGCCAGATACAACAACAGAGCTTGCACGACCGTGATATGCGACTGGGAGATGGCTGTAGTTTGGCTGAAGTGCACTGGCCGGACCCCGAAACAAGGCACCCACTGTCTGCGCATGGTTACGACCAGCGAAAAAGTCGGTATAATCTCCAATGCTAAGTGGCACGTGAGACCTGACTTCGCCAAGTGGCATCAAGGCCTGTTCTCGTAAATGTGCATTATCCTTGAGAATATCGGGGTACGGTGTATCTTTGCGAAAGACATCTTGAAGATAAGCTCTTGTAGCACGATGCACCGGTCTTCCGAGGGCAGCAAAGTCATTCAGTGTTGATTGCGAAAACACGTCAAGTTTCTCGGCTGAGAAGTCAGATAACTTCGAAAAGCCATCATTCCGCGCAAATACCGACAAGTCAAGGACTTGCTCGCCAATAGCAACAGCTGGACGAGGTGTCGGCTGGTTCGAAGTTGAGACTATACCAAAGGGGAAATTGGCGAGAGAGAAATGACTCTTCGCGGGGATTGGAAGCCAAGATGACATTATGAGAAAAAATCTGTTATTGGTTGATGTGGAAAAAAATAAAATTGATTGGTTTGTGAGGGAAGCAGACGACGGGAGCGACTGCTGATACTTTTCCAAGCATTGAGTTTCTTATTCAATGCCATTTCTTTCACATGAACTGTTGCAGGCCGCAACGTATTAAAGTTAATTCCGAAGTCGTTGCGCTATTAGTGTTCGGAAATGTTGGTGCCATTCCGAATATTCTGGTGGGTCAGTGATTGGGAATCATAGCTCGGAAACCCGGACTTGCTCTGCAGTCGGTTAAGACTGGGGCAATATGGAGGCCCAAATGAATCAGTCTGTATATATCTTATCTGATTGACTCGCTATGCCAAAGAGGAATTAGAGCTTGTTCATCTTGTTTTCCAAAGCCAATTAGTGACAATGCCTATTACCAATTTTTCCACCTCTGAGAAGTATACTTATTTGAATGGATTTGATTCATTCCACGAGTAGGTGGCTTCTCTTCGTCTGTCTAGACAAAACCATTCTCTAACTGATTAACCCCCAGATCAGAGGCCATTGAGGGTGCTCTGCCCATCGGCGCCAATTCTCCACAAAAACCACCGTACGGCCTCTACGCCGAGAAACTATCCGGTACAGCTTTCACCGCTCCACGACATGAGAATCGCCAAACCTGGCTCTATCGTGTTCTTCCTTCGGCCTCACACTCGACGTATCAGCGCTTTAGCGATGCTTCAGAACCAATTTTGAAAGCAAAGCTGAACTATATTCCCCAGCAGCTGCGATGGGATCCTTTTGATGTCGATGAGAAAGTCGATTGGGTGAGGGGGTTGAAGCTAGTGTCCGGTGCAGGTGACCCTACGCTGAAAACAGGTATCGGAATTTACGTTTTTACCGCTGGTAGGGATATGGACGAGAGAACAGCTATGTACTCCTCTGATGGTGAGATGCTTGTTGTCGCACAGCATGGCGTATTGGACATACAGACTGAGCTCGGACGCATCTTGGTTCGCCCTAACGAAATCGCAGTGCTTCCTCGTGGTATTCGATACCGGGTCACTCTCCCAGAGGGTCCTGTTCGTGGATACATATTGGAACTATACCAGGGGCATTTTCAGCTACCTGAACTGGGTCCCATTGGGTCTAACTGTCTCGCCAACCCTAGGGACTTTCAGGTTCCTGTGGCGAATTTTGAAGAGGACACGGTATCGACCTGGACCATCTTGAACAAGTTCAATAATGAGCTTTTCGTGGCACAGCAGGGACATACACCATTTGATGTGGTGGCTTGGCATGGAAAGTAAGTATTTTGTCGAGTCTAATTGTTCAAGCTGACACTTTACAGATGTGAGTACTTAGCTCGATACGTGTTTGTACAGGGTATATGGACATGACTGACTCTCCCAGTTTACCCCTACAAATACGACCTCGGTCGCTTCTCAGTCATTGGTAGCATCTCTTTCGACCACCCAGATCCATCTATCTATACCGTCCTTACGGGACCATCTGATCACCCCGGGACAGCAATTGCCGACTTTGTAATTTTCCCACCTCGATGGCTTGTCCAGGAAGACACATTCCGACCACCATGGTACCATCGAAATACCATGTCTGAATTCATGGGCCTGATTTGCGGTCAATATGACGCCAAGACAGGAGGTGGCTTTCAACCGGCTGGGGCTAGTCTACACAACGTCATGACGGCACATGGTCCAGATGCTGATTCGTTCGAAAGAGCGAGTAATTCGGATTTGAAGCCTATGAAAGTTGGGGAGGGAAGCATGGCTTTCATGTTCGAGAGCAGTTTGATGCTTGGAACCACTGACTGGGGACTTGAAACATGCAACAAGGTTCAGGAAGACTATAACAAGCACAGTTGGGAGGAGTTGAAAGTGCATTTCAAGAGGCCATCATGAGACTCTGAAGTAGGACTTATAACTTGCGAGACAGTTGTATTCATCCCTGAATGTACCTACAAATCTATTTTCAACGTGCACCACAATCATTGTACCTGGCTTATTATTTGCAAAAATATTGTGAGTATCATTATCATATAAAGACAAAGTTTAGGTGATTAACATCTCTTTGTCTTGTTATTCTTTCTTGACAGAGGCAACGAATAGCATATTTGTGACTAGATAACCGCCAATTGCGTATCTCTGTTTAGAGCCAGTGACACTGAGGCTTTACAAATACCTAGAATATTCACCGTATCGCTTACCATGGATTTATTTTCTCACCTATTCTGCGCCTCTGCACTCCTGATATACCGCAATTGCACAAACCTTACCTCTGTATCACTAGGAGCCGCAACGTCCAGCTTTCTACAGCGTAATGAATTAAGTAATGCTACAGTGAAGTATCTGGCCTCTGCTTCCCTGATCTCGGAATGCTTGAACGGAATCTCACTGCTAAACGCGGGGTGAGCCATGTGGTGGTGGCCCTGCCAAACTCTTTTCCATTTTAGCGTCGATCGCCACTCGCACTTTTTTTCTTAATCTGGCTAGCCTGGTCTGGGATTGCCGACTCAGCCGTATAACAGATTGAATGGCAGACATGATAAGAATACGCAGGACGCCTTGTTAACACATAAATTGCTGGAATCCGGGAGGAAACAATCACTCTAATTACTACACACGCATCTACAGCTATTGCAACAATCCATTGCTTATCATGACAAACGAGACTTCCTACGCGGATACTGAAAAACATCTGGGCGAGCAAAGCCCGGAAAGTCAGAACCTGGAGCGTCTTGGCTATGCTCAAGAAGTCAAGGTAACAGGAGATTTAATCCTCGGATTACTGTTTGAGGCTAATCCACTCGATTTCAGCGCAGGTTCTCCCTGCTTGCCATGGTTGCGACATGCGTCAATCTTATGTGCACATGGGAAGCCCTATCCAGGTATGTGTGTTCCTTCAAATTCTTTTAACCCTTGTCTTACTAAATATAATCGTTACGGCAGTACTCTTGCCGCTGGTCTGGTGAGCGGAGGGCCTGTATCCCTTGTTTACGGATCCATAACTGCCTTTCTGGGATCTATCTGTGGCGCCATGTCGCTTGCGGAGCTGGCATCCAGGTGAGATATGCAAAACCACGATATCTTGAACTGTGTAACTTACAGTGCAAAGCTTCCCAACCGCTGGTGGACAGTATCATTTCGTCGCTAAATTGAGTCCACGAGCGGCAAGACCGCTTTTAAGTTGGCTGGCCGGTTACATTTCGTGAGTTATGAAGAATAGCGAGAAAGAAATGCTAGACTGACAGGAACACCACTAGAACCCTTGGCTGGATTTCACTCGCCGGCAGTGCCCCCTTCCTAGCCGGGACTCAAATACAAGGTCTAATTGTCCTCAACTACCCCGATTACGTCTTCGAACGATGGCACGGAACAATGCTTTTCTGGGCAATCCTGATCTGCTCTGCCGCTATCTGCATCCTTTGCAACAACACACTTCCTCTCATCGAAAAGATTACGCTGGTGTTCCACGTCGAATTCATCATCATCATCGTCGTCAGCATGGCTGTCGTCTCTCCGACCAAACATACTCCCGAATTCGTATTTACAACTTTCGAGAATAATTCCGGGTGGATAAATGACACTGTTGCATGGAGTATAGGTCTACTTAGCTCATGCTACGTGTTGATTGGCTACGATGGAGCGACACATTTGAGTGAAGAGATGGATAAAGCTGAGACTGGTGTCCCAAGAGCTATGGTTGGTTCGATTTTGGTTAATTGGCCACTTGGATTCGCATTTCTCCTCGTCGTTTTATTCTTCATGGGGGATGTTGCTTCGGCGCTCAATACCCCCACCGGCTTCCCCATCACTCAGATCTGCTATAACATGACGGGAAGCAAAACTGCAGCGACATGCATGGTTAGCGCCATCACTGCGATGGCGGCTCTATCCACCGTCCCGCTCGTTACCTCTGCAGCTCGTGTTATGTGGGCTTTTGCGCGAGATGGAGGTAAGAATTCCGACACACTCTATAGGAAGCATCTTTGATACGGATAAACAGGACTACCATTTTCACAACACATTGCGAAGGTTGATAAACGTCGCGAGATCCCCACTGTATCCGTTCTCGTTGTAACATTCCTTCTTATTTTGCTTGGTCTTACCAACATTGGTTCCACAACTGCCTTCAATGCCATCCTCTCGCTTGCAGTTGTTAGTCTGCAATTCACCTACCTAGTTCCCATCGTTCTTTTGATATGGCGTCGTTTATACCGGCCCGAAACATTGACCTGGGGACCATGGCGCTTGGGCAAATCTGGCTTATTCATTAATATCTTTGCCGTTATTTACCTGACCTTTACATGCATTTTTCTTTTGTTTCCTCCATTTAGACCTGTCAGCGCGGCAAACATGAATTACGCTTCTGTAGTTCTTGGAAGTGCACTCCTGTTTGGCTGTTTCTATTGGCCATTAAAGGCGAAGCGGAGGTACATTGGTCCACTGACACACAACGAGGTATTAGAAGGGAGAATTGATTAGAAGATGTCTTTTGTTGTATTTAGGAAAGAAAAATCAACACCCTAAGACGCTTGCTCCTTGTAACATAACCTGACCTAAAAATGTCGTCTCTTATCCAGCCAATGTTTTCTGATAATCCGAGGTCGGGGAAAGACCCGCTTCGTTTACGAACTAACTGAGCCAACCAATCCAAATCTGCTGAGTTATCAGAGATCCCCGCAATGGTCCAATCGGAAATTCGGTTCCGCATTGCGAAGACTGACTTCCCCAACGACAGAAAAGTCATGAGTATTACTAACTGTCCATGTCACAAAGGGAAATGAATTGTTACGGTCATGCAGTGATTTATCTGTCCAAAAAATATATATTTGGATACTGAAATCTCAATTATTCTTGATAGAACTGTGTAGATGGAGCAATCTTCAGCGAAAGCGGGATGGCATAGCAGGTGTGTCAAATCGAGGAGTAAGTCATTTTTAAGGGCATGATTGACCTAACACTCGTATCGCTAATATGTTTTCAGGTGGCTGTGTTACTTGCAAAAAAAGAGTGAGTTTCATGCTCTTCCACATTGGAAGAAAACTGTGATTTAACCTGACTTCTGACACTAGAGGCTTAAATGCGATGAAACAGAGCCCTTATGCAAACGTTGTATTAAGTCAGGACTTGCATGTCCAGGTTATAATAAACCCATCAAATGGTCAACAAAGTACGAAATACATGATGGATCGCTCGGGCCCTCTGATCATAATTCATTAGTCAGTGGTTCCAGCAGTCAACAGGATGCTGTTTTGGACGGTACCATGCCACCAACTCTTTATCATCCTCAAGACGAGTTTTCGTCTCTTCTTACCCATTATTACTCTAATATTTGCCAAGTGGTGTCTTCCTTCGATTCGCCTCAAAATCCCTACCGATCCCTCGTATCGACAATGATGTTGGATTCTCCGATCATCTTCAACTGCGTCATGACAATATCCGCCTCGCATCTTTCTCAATTGGACAGTAGTGGAACAGCACCAATTGTTTTCCAAACAGAGGCCATTTCACATATATCTAAAGACATTGCTGAGATAGATACTGGGTCCAGTGTATGCATTCAATACAACGAGAAGGAGTTCAGAGACCATATTCAGGTTCTCAATACACCCACTGTCAAAGATGAACTTCTAATCGGGATTATTCTTCTTGGCATGACATCTGTAAGTACTAAGATATCAATGAACTATGAGTGACTAATCCTGTCTATAGAGCTGGTATGACCCTTCTTCTTTGGGTCTTTTCCATTTTCATGGTGCACGTCGACTTTTCACTATCTGGATGACTGAAAAGGACTTGACCCAATTGCAACTTCCCTCTTCATGCACTCAACGCCTGATTGTTTCATCAATGGTGTACTGGGAGGTCATGGCAGCCTGCTTGGTTGATCAGGGCTTAGAGGACCTCGCGTATCTCGACGTCTTCCGCACCCAACCTCGCGTATTCTTCTCGTACCCATGTCCTTGGACAGGAGTCGGTATGGAGGTTCTCATACTTCTTGCCAAATGCGTGGCCCTTGTGCGGAATGTTCGAAGTGCACATCGTACGGTTTGCGTTGTCGGCTCGCTCAGTAAGGACTTCGCAATAATTAACCAGGCATCTATACTTATTCGGGAGATCAATGATATCCAGATTACAAGCATTGCTGAGATACAAGAGACGGGAGATCTATCTACTCCTGCAGATCATCTCTACAAGATGGCCCAATGCCATCGACTTGTCGCTCTACTCGAGCTTCACAGGACAATTCCTGAACTAATATATGGAGATATCCAAGATGAACATGACCATCAGCATCAACACTCCCAACAGGTTTTGGCCTTGGCCATCGAGGTCCTAGAAATCAGCGGGAAGATACCTCAAGAGTCTCATACAATTGCGATTCAAACACTCATGCTCTTGTCAGTTGGCAGCACCCTTAGCTTTTACTCAACAACGGACCCGGAGACCATACTAATGTGGAGGAATTTTGTGATGGGAAGACTCTGCAAGTTGTTTCACACATTCAAACTTCAGACAATAAATCGAGCAGCAACTATTCTCAAGGAAGTCTGGTCGCAAATGGACTCAATGGTAGTTGAGTCTGCAAGCTGCTGCAGTCCTATTATGCATATCCATTGGGTGGATGTTATGGTTGACAAGAAACTGGATACAATTCTCGGATGAAACTAAAAGATTGGCTTAAACGCATACGTCTACTCAATTACTACATGTTCAGTGTACTTCGGAATTCAAGGAACGGGATATAGATACGACAAAAGGCAGCGGACTTTCGGGCCTGGTCGAGGCCGAATTCTGGTACACTGTTCAATCCTTTCCCACCACTGTAACTTGCCGTCTCCATTTCCATTCATGTTGCGGGGTTAAAGAACGGGACTATTGCGCATTAATTGAGGTCATGAGCACGGAAGCAGGATGGACAGATAAGTTTGCGTCGAACAGAGTACCATGCTAGTAAGATAGGGTCAGTCATGACTAGGCAGGTGTCCTCGTGTCGTTCAGGAGGGCGAGGCGAGTGGGGACCTCGCACTTTTAGTCTATTTTGAGATTAGTTCATTTTTGCCGTGTCACAGGGTAGCTCCGTACTATACTCCAAGTGTAGATACATCGCTCCACAAGGCGCCCCGGACTCTCTTGGAACTTCGGACTTTTTGCAAGGCACACAGATTAGCATTCGGAATAGACAACCCGAGAACAATTCTTCACAAATTACTACAAACGTCAAATATAAAGTCTTACACCACTGCACCCCCTCATAATCCGCATTACAATATTTCAAAACAAATCATATTTTTCCCAAGCTCTTTCTATAACTTAATCACTTCTTTACCATGCCTTCAGCAGCCATCTCGGATAACCCTGACTTCGTTCCGGTTGCCAAATGGCCTACCCTAGAGGCCATGGCCACCGGTTTTCGGGAGCACCTTATGCCTGCGTCTAGCAAACTACAGGGCCGAACCATCATTCACAAATTTGACAATGGCATGAAAATCTCACATAAGTTTGCCACCGACTCTTTGGAATGGATGACCCTTGAGGGCGAAGACAAAGGCAAATCTAGAACGGCCGACTATGAAGCTTTTGAGGTCCGACCCGATGTTTTCTTCATCGACTTCCTCAAGCCTGGGTACAACGAGGTTGTCACAATGATAGCGGATTTGACTACTGGTCAGGCCATCACAGGTGTCTCGGGGTTCAAAGGCCAAGACACTCAGCGTCGAACGTACACTGCTTTCATGAACGCCACCGCCTTTCAAGACCAACCTGTGCAAGCATTCCCCTTTACTGAAGACCTGATCGGCAAGCACATCCTCTACCGCTACAGCTCAAAGGATGCGTATGAACACATTTACCTCAACAAGGGCACATTCGTTTGGCACTGTCTAGACGGGACCGAGAGAGGTCTCGCCGATGCGGAAGAGTGCAAGATGCTCAAGTTGCGAGATGGATTGTACCTTCTGTTCTGGACTGAGACAATCATGCCTGTGGAAAGCTTGGTTGTGATTGATTTGGAGCATATGCGATCAACGGGGAGGTTCTACTGTTGGGATCCTCAGCCGAGGGAGGCTGTCCATGTCAGTTTTGGGTCGCATGCTACGATTATGGCAGAAACCTCGCCTATGCAGACTTTAATGCAGGTCTCCTAGAAGAAATTGACGTAGTTCGTATATATTATCTCGATGAAATTAACCGGTCGACTTGCAATCGATCATGATCTTGTGACAATGTTACTTAACCTCAAAGCATAACACTTGTAGGATGGCGAGTTCATTAAAGACACACACTATGCCGCGAAGGTAACCACCTGACTATTATGACATTGACTAAACGGGTTGCTTACATTGAGCTTTGGTGAAGCTCACCACGAGTGATAAACAGAGATATGGGAATCTGAATTCGGAGTGAAATACATGTTAAGACGCCATTGGCTTGATTATCTAGTTAATTTGAGCGTGATCGCCAAGAAGACCTGTCTTATCGCAAACACTAGATGATAGTTGCGAGAAAGGGGATCTTGAAGAATCAGGAACACGACCTTAACACATAGACAATATGTGAAATAGCTCAAATACCAAGACTTTGTTTTTTAATCGATAATTACATACTATATAAGTTACCACAGCACGATGTTCAGGGGGTAAAACCTTCAATTAGACATGTCTATAAATACCTCGCCAGAGATACCGAGAAAGTGAGAGAGATCTGTCATCGCCTAACAAGACAATGTCCTGAAACTTGCAGTTCCTATATGCAACTTCAATCATTCTACATAAACAATGGTGAAAATAACAGTGGAATAAAACGATTGTTTATTTACATTGTTTATAGAATATACTTCAAGAATCAAGAAGAAATATCTTACATAAACCACCGTGAACACAGGTTTACCAAGCCCTTTAACTGTTAGTAGATTGCAATATTCTATTGCCCACGAATAGTGTTCAGGGATGAGGTGTAAGATGGCTTCTTGTTAAAGTTATCATCCCAAAGGAGAGCAGAGCCCTCCCCAGGGAATGTGCCAGGAACCCAGGAATACTTGTCCGAAATTCCCTATGAGTTATTAGTATAAGCAAGAAAGTGAACCATTGAATTTGAAACACATACCCAGACAGTAACACCAACGCATCGCTTGACATCCATACAAGACCCCACCATTCTGGCGTAGGCCGCAGCATTGGCCTGGAGCTTCTGCTGGTTGGCGGGGGTGTTCATGCGAATGTCAAGTTCGGTGTAGGCAACGTCGACGTTGAGCTTGGTGAAGCTGTTGAGAACTGAAGCCAAGTTTGCTCGGGAAGGAGTAGGTGTGTTTTGAGTAGGCGTGCTCTCGCTGGTCATGTGAGCCTGCAGACCAACACCGTCGATGCGAAGGCCGTAGGACTGGATAAGTTTGGTGATACGGATAGCTCCTGCAGTCTTGGCACCACCATACTCGAGGTTGTAGTCGTTGTAGTAGAGTTTGGTGGTAGGGTCTGCAGCAAGAGCCATGCGGAAAGCAATGGGAATAAATGCCTCGCCGATGACGCGGTAGAAGACACTGTCGCGGTAAGTTCCATCCTCATTGAGAGCTAGAAGTAGTTGTAAGTCTCTCGTCTTCATCAACGACTTAGTTGAACGTACCTTCATTGACGACGTCCCAGTGAGTACACTTCCCCTTGTATCGACCCATGACAGCATTGATGTGGTCCTTCATGACCTGCTGCAAGGTCTGGTTGTTCCAGTTGCCATTAGCCACCCAAGAGGGTAACTGGCTGTGCCAAACGAGAGTGTGGCATCGAAGCTCCATACCTCGCTGCGTGGCGGCATTGGCATGCTGGTCGGCCGAAGCCCAGTTGAACTGGCCACGATTGGGCTGGATAGCCTCCCACTTCATGGCGTTCTCAGGGGTAATAGATCCAAATTCCCCTTTGGTGTTGAGGACGTTGGTCTCTCCACCGTCATTGCGGACTGTCAGTGCTGTGCCAAAGTACTTCTTGCCAGCAGCCTTCATGGCGGCGTCAAGGCCAGAAGTTTGTCGAGACTCGATATCTCTATTTGCGAACTATGAGTGAATTTGTTTCAAAGTTTTGACATAGGTGAACTCACGGTACAGGGTTTGCTGTCACCAGACCATTGTAGAGGGCCAAGGCCACGGCGGGAAGAATACTGAAACGCATCTCTGCAATCAGCAAGATTGTGTTACTTCAATAGTGATAAAGAGACTGGAGACGTCGCTGGGCAAATCTGTGGATTGTTCTGCAGGCGTGCCAAAGCCTCTTATATCGGAGGCTCAGGTCATGATTCCTTGATCAGTGTTTTGATGAGTCCCGGCTAAATACCTGTGTTTGGGCGTTTCAACAGTCGAGTTACCCCAGAATACAAGGGTCAATAACCGGCTTGGCAGGGGGCAAATTGATTGCAGTACAGGCTAATGTCAGTACCAATAACAGCCAAAAACCTGGAAAAGTGCCGTGTTCCTTGCATGGTGTAGCAATCGACGAATAGTACAGCTGAAGTTTGCGCGGGCAGTAGAGCACTTGAAAATTAAGTCTGTCTGGGATATAGACCAAATTACAGATGTGTGTAGCAGAGATTAATTGTTGTAATTGTTTCATTGCATTGAGCGAGCAAAGTTAATCTTTCTGCAATTTTATTCAATTAATGTCAGCCAAAAACTGTCTAATAGCGGTGTAAATATGAAAAGCCGCTTAAATCAGCAGCCTAATAACAGATGTCCACAACTCCCCCGCAAATGAAGTCATATTGCCCGGCTATTGATCTGAACACTAGAAGCTTCCTTGCCCCGGGTTTGTGTTGCAAGACTTGACGGTTAATTAATGGCCATCACGGAGGACCAGCTTCCGGCCACTGTATGTGGACAAGTGTAGAAGGCTAACCTATCTATTCCAATCTAGCTAGCTTGGTGGATCAACTCTCAGCAAATACGGAGCCATGATTGGTGCAGTTGACAGTCACGTGTAAGGCTACTTGATTGAAGAAAGCAGCTCACCACTTCCTAACTTACAAACTGAAGGCTCGTGAAATCCTTTTTAGTATACTTTATTTTGGGAAAATAGCTGCTGAAAATGACCACAATAATCTTTTCCACATAATTAAAAACTAAGATTGCATGTGATTGTAAACGTGTCACTTTGAACGTTTTAAAGGTTACAGCTTTGAAGCTATCATCCCTATCAAGTTTACACTCGTGACTATTCTCAGACACCTTTATATACCCGATCTTGTTACCCCAGACAGACTTGTATGCTCTAATAGAATGTGGCTTCCATGTTACTTTTGCTCGGCCCCTTCCAAAGTCTCTGCCAGGTAGGTCGTGGATGCGTCAATATCTCAACGCTTGGCATAGCAATTTTGTCAAAAAGAATGGCTTTGACAATGAGCTTTCCGGGATACTCCGGTGTACCTGTAGCCACTGGGTTTCCACAGTTGCCACAAAAAGAGCGCTCCAGACAAACGTCAGCGATGTCTTCACATGCAAGATATCAGAACAATGGTATCAACCTCGAACTTGTTCTCAAAGTCTGCAATTGCAGTAAATGTCTTCATCGTTCCATTTGAATTACTGATTCGAGCCTGGTTTTTATCAGCGACATAGTGAGGCGCAAATACTGGAATAGCCAGTTAGTATTCAAAGAATATGAAATGGGCTAGCAGTAGGCGTGAATCTTGACTTACATTCACCGGCTCGTTAGCTGGCTTAGCTTTCGAGAAAAAGTCAATAAAAATTCCGGAAGTTTCTCTCCCAAATGAAAGACACTAACCAAAAGCAGGACATGGTGTCCTTCTGTAGCTTTTGCGGCAGGGCCACCTTGATGCTCTCACAGTCGCAATAGCCTTCATTTGACATGACTGAGTCTACAGTACGGAATACTTGGTGGATTAGTCTGATGAACGACAAGTTAAAAATGGGTTCAGCGTTATGTATTTGTGTAGTATCTTGGAGTGGCTATTGCTTCAAACAGCTGTCCTAATTGATTATTTTTCCCGTATCCAAGTGGGGACTAATCTAAAAACATGCACAATTTAGTTCTTTTTTTTTTTATTAGAAGCAAATAGATAGAGATCTTCAAAACGAGAAGCATTACTCAATCAATTGCGTGGCGTTCGCGATACGCCATACATGACACTGCTTCTAATACCATGTATACCTGTGATCAAAGACTGCAGCTCAATGGCTTACTATTCCATGAGGCATCATACCAACAGGATTATACTTCCATTACTCATTCGACACTCCTATAGTGGCGGTTCACTCTCCCAAGCCGATCTCCCATAGCCTATACCGCGTGTTGAGTTTGTGAAAGGCAATGTATCCCAGTAGATGGCTGTTCAATAGTTGCAGGTATGGGTTCCTACCCTTGAGCACAAGTCGCACTATTTAAGATATCCCGTCAGCATGTTCCCATATAAAGAGTGGAAGCAGTGACTCCTACGCCCACGTATATAGATTATGAAGTAATGGCATTCATCAAGGCTGCAGTAAGCCCCAACCGCAATAAACAAAATGTAAGACTTACTATTGCGGGTTTTCAACCTCACATCATCGACTATATCTTCAAAAGTAGACCAAGTGTCTTTATCATCATACCATCCTCTGGTATGGATATAATTGTGCTTTTCTCCGGCCTGCTCTTCTTTCCAAAAACTTGATAAGGTCAGTGATACCCAGAGTGAAGGACTTGGATCGATCGAGCTGGACTAACGATAGTATGTCATTTGTGAGGCCAATCCACATAGAGAGATCGGGTATCACCTCCATGAAGCGTGATTTATCACCGCACAGTGCTTTTGGGAATGTAAACCAAGCATAAGCCTCTCCCACACCATCCTTCTCTCGAATGAACCACGCCCAGCTACGCCCAGCCTTTGTTCGCTCAATGTGAGTAAAATCTTCCCTAGCCTGGAGTGCGTTTGCGTTCAGGAAGTTCAAAGAAGCGGTTATAATGAAGTTAGCGACCAAGGGATCCCAGTGTTCAAACACTAAAGTCATGAGGTCCGCCCAGCCCTGTAGCAAAGGTATAGGCTGCTTCTCACCAGCACAAAACCTTTGGTGGAACATTTCGAAGTCATCTGGATGAGTGACAGCTTCATCATCGAGGAGTAGCCCGAGCCAGGAATAGATGCCGATATATGTCTGCACCTCGACAGGATGATGAGGGAAGCATACCTGTCCAGTGGCGTTAGTATCACTCACCTAGGTTTTGTGTGTACGTTATGAACTCACAACTGGATATGTGAAACCTATCTTGAAACATGTCCCTGAATGGGTTCCTTCGTCATACGAGACGCCCGTTCCATTTGCATACAAGCACATTGCTTTCCAAAGAGCGTCATTATTCGTTGGTGCAACGGGCGAATATTCAAGCTCGGTGGTGAATGACGTGATCAGGGGTTTGATAAACGACTTGAGGTCTCTTGAGTCTGTGGAAGGACTTATTTGCTGACATAGATGTCGCTTATATGAGGGAGTTCCTCGATATTTCCAGGAAAGAGTTGATGATGAAATGCCCATAGTAAACAATCTTAGAATAATTCTATTTTGTGGGAAATTCTCGGGATCAAGCTGTCATTAAATGGCTGTCCTTTAGTCAGGATGTGGTTCAAGGTATTCTATGTTGGTAGGAGATTTGCATGGGTAATGATAATAAGAATCTCCATTCAATGATATGGGACGGAAACTCCTAGTTTGGAATACTCTCCGTTAGATTTACTGTATGTAAATGGCACAGGAAAATTTCCACTACTTACAAGTCGTTGTTGGTTGCGCCCAAAACACTCTGTGCTAGGGTTTTTACCATGTCAATCAGGTGGTTCCACCTTAAGTGGACTCCTTTTTTTTACTGCGTATCGCATCTACAGCAGTGAGAACAGCCACTTATCAGGAGACCACAGGATAAGTCGTATTATAATGCTTGTTTCTATATTATAGCGAGAGTTTCACTGGATGCATTTCCTGGCCCAATTTGCAGTACTATTCCCTTCCCTCTGTCCTACAGACCACTCACTCCCTGTGCGTTGGTATTTTTCTTTTCTCTCAATCCTTCTCCTTTTTTCTTTCATGAGCTTAGTTTGATATTATAGAGCAGATACATGTAGATTGTATAAATAAACCACACCCGATTTTCACGAGTCATTTCGCCGGCTTGGCATACAAGGGTCATATCTTCCATTTGCGTTTTATCTGGATTGCTATCAGTCGCCAATTCGTTACCTCACAGTCTTTATAAGAGAAGAAGTTAGAAAACCAGGTGACCCAAATCTGACATCCGCAGTCCGTTGTCGGAGACCAAGTAGTTATCGTGCCTTTATACCACCACATTCCCAATTGCAATCACCCCCTTCATTCTATTCTTTGCCACACCGTTTCTTATCATTTGTCATGGCCTCCCAAAGCAAACACAAGACTTGAGTGGGGAGCTCTAACTCGGAAAATATCGCCTTGGGCGACATTGTAAAGCCTGTTGGCACGATGAGGAGCTCGCCATTGCGCTCTCTAATTACGTTCCGAATATCGTCGAGGAGAAACCCTTTGTCCAAAACATTGACCTTACCGTTTTACCTTGCCTATGGTGGATGTACTTCCTAGCATACTTGGACCATGGCAACATTGTATGTTCCTCTACCGTAACTCCTGATATTGGAATCTTACTAAATTTCAAGGCCAATGCTGACGTGGCCGGGATGAGTGAGAGTCTCGACATGAAAGGTAATGGTCCGGTCCCTTTTTGTGGATATGGATAATACTAAACATTATCCCAACCAAATTACTCACCCCTTGTATACCTGCTCTTCGTCAATCACTTTCTCAAGTACCGTCCAATATGATCATGAATAAATTCCGACCATCTGTCTACCTTCGTACCATAGTTTGGGTTTGGGGTTGCATTGTTATAACTCTATCCCAAGCCACGGACTTTGAAGGGTTTCCCGCTGGGCGCTTCTCTCTTGGTTGCATTGAGGCAGCACTCTTTCCTGGAGCAATTTATCTTTTGACCTGCTTATATACTAACAAAGAAATCGGTACGCGCGATTGTGTATTGAAAGTGCATATAAAACTAACATATTTACAGGCAAGCTGTTCTATATCTTTTATACGTCTGGATGTATAGGCCCTGCTTTAGATGGAATCATGGCTGGTGCTATTGTCAAGAGTCTTGATGGGGCACGAGGTATTCCTGGCTAGCAGTGGCTTTTCATTGTTGAGGGTGTTCTCACAGTCATTTGCGGGTTTTCTTTGTATTCCTTCCTACCAGACAACCCGTATAACGCCCGATACTTCTCGCCTGATCAGAGATGCCTTGCCCAGACTTGAAACCTAGCCGGCCGACAACTTAGCGCACACAGCACAACCCGCTGTATGACTTCATGGTAGGCTTTCAAGGCTATTGTTACGGATGGTAAAACTTGGTTCTTCCTTGTTGCCTATAGCGTCATTCGTCTTGGCATGTCCATCTTATATTTCGTGCCTACAATCCTCAAGACTACGGGCTATACAAACGTCATGGCTTGTATCATTTTGTCTTTAATCAGTTCTGCTGTAGCCAAATCCGCCATGATATGCCTGCTTGTTGTTGGTTTCTATACGGGCCTACCAATGATGTTTAACTGGACAAGCGAGTCGGTCCCATTCCCAGACCAGAAAAGATTAGTCGCTATCGCTTTTGTCAACCCGTTCGGACATTTGGCTATCATTTACGGAAGCTACTTGTGGCCTAGCACTAATGCTCCTGAGCATCTTGTCGCCTTTGCAATTCTAGCCGCTACTTGTGATTTTGGCTATCTTATCGTGGTTGCTGCAACTTGGTATTTTCAAATGCTGCTACAGGAACTAGTAACAAGGGCTGAACGGGACTTGACAATGCTGCAGCGCCTGGACCAGGCGATGCGGAAATTATAGGGTTGCCCAACATAGAATAACATAACAAAATCCTAGTAACGCTTAGAGATAAGCAAGAGACTACTCGGTTCAAAATTCTCAGTTAAGAGCAGTTCTTAAGCTTGATCACTGTGATGAGCGATGTTATGGTTGTATTTATGCTTGTCAGTTACTGAAGCTTGAGAAATAAATCTAGCCACGGGAAATTGTGCAAGTTTCATCAATCCATACCATCATAGATTAACCCGCAATAAAAAGAGCGTTCTATATCTATCTTCGAGTCTAAGAAATGACCGGCTGTAGGGTAATGAGATTGTGGGGTTTCGGGGTGTAAAACAACATCCCTCCGCGCCGCCGAGGTCCTATCTCTATCGGGTAGACTATACTGAAAGACAGGTGGATAAGAACTATTAAATCTCTAGACTAAATTAGGCAATTGAAAGGAGACGCGGGGTTGCTTGTCATGACGGAATATATCGGCCTTCTTGTCATGCTTCTAATCTATTTTAATTGCACTCTACTATTATTTACATTCTAGCTAGAGTTGGCTTATTCCCAATCATATTTTGAAAGAAGTTCTATCCATTTTCTAGTCTCAACGCTGTTTCTTCGAACAATTGTGGAAATTCGGTGTCAGAGTATGCTATATCTTGCAACACCATGCGACTGATAGCCTTGCCAGCCAAGGGGGACTTGAGGAATACCGTGTCCTGTGAAACCACCCATGATGAAAATGTTTTGCCGCCCAGGGACATGCCCAACATGCGGAAGTGCGTCTGAAGAGTAGCCCATGCCTTGTTCCGACAGATTAGCACCGAAATTGTTTGGAACATGGTGCACTCACTACCAGTCCAAATCTGAGCAGTGTATGCACCACTGTTTCCCAACCACGAAAGTGTCTTCTGCATGTATTCATCAAAGTAGTCTTTCGCTCTGTCAATGAGATTCGTATCATCGACACTGCCGTAACAGTCCTCAGTGTGTCTGAAGTAAGCTGATCTGGCGCCGCCGACAATAATACTCCCGTCAGGTTGAGGAGTCAGATAGTCAAAGTCCTGAAGATTGGAACGGAGAGAATAAGAGTCCGCAAGCATTGGTGGAGTCGGCACGACGATTCTGATGCATATTGCACGATACGGAATGATCTTCTCGTGATACTCTGGGAGAAGAGCAGTATAGGCATTTGTGGAAATTATGACCTTTTGACCTCGGACAGACCCGCGGCTGGTTGTAACAATCCATTTCCCGGTTGGATGGGGAGAATATGATATATTCGTTACAGGCGTGTTAGTCTGTAAGTTCAGGTGCTCATGGCTTAATGTCCGGGAAAACATGTGATGGATTAGCTTGTAAGGCCAAAGATGGCCTGTGGTGTACTTGAAGGCACCATTGGCGCCTTTGATACCGGAAACCTGTTTTCACTGTGTCAGAAATCGTATACCTTTGGGTCACTGGGTCAGGTTCAGACATGAACAATACAATACTTATCATCTAGGCATATTTACTATCTATGTAGAATGCTTTCTTAGTGGCGCTTACGCCGGCACTGGCGAGATCGTCAAAGCCTCTCTTGAGAGAGGAGTTATGCTCTTCTGATAACTGCACGTCCACAGTCTGGTTCATTATGAAATCGCAATCAACGTTATTGTCAATGACGTAGTCTTGCAACGCTTCCAAGTTGGCGAGTTCAAACTCAACGATCTCGGCTGCTACATCAATCTCGTGTTTTGTAGCCATTCCTGAGCACAGATTATATACATCAGGCTTCAGGTGGCCCCCTATTGAACGAATGTGAGACAATTACTGAGAACGGGGTAGTTGTGACCAACAGTTTCGTCCAGTAGCTCCAGGGCACAGCTCAAGATCTTCTAAGACAACGATTGACTTGTCCCTTGACTCAGGGACCGACAACATGTGTGTGACAAGAGAAGCGCCCGAATATCCTGCGCCGATGATAATGATGTCGCACTCCACTCCGAAGGTAATTGAGACGGTAGACCTGTGATTGTCCAGCACTCCTGGAGAAGAGCGCCAGAATGATACCATCCCATCGGGAGGAGGATAGGATTTGGGTTCATCACGTACAACTACAGATGTATAGACAATGGTGACGTAAAATGGAATTGAATAAATATATATGAGATACGAGTGAATTGATCGATGTTTATTGAGGGGAAAGTCAAGTGCGAGGCTACTGGTCTGCTGACTCTTAAGTAAAGCATGTCACGTCACAGTAGTCCGTGCGAAACGCAGAGTGGGTTCATGGCTAAAAAATGCATTGATTGGGCTGATGGCGTAAAGACGATCAGCACTTATAAATCGATGCCGTTACATCATGATATTCAGGCAGAGGGCAGTAAGTCTGTAGTTATTCGTTGAGGTACCGAGTTCACATCAAAGCAATGTCAGGTAATGATTTGTATTATAATTTGTTAATTATAAACCAGGGTTATGTTTTGAAGGCATTGTATGTGACCTTCAAAACGCTATCGAGATAGAAGAGTAATTGATGTTGCGGATCGAGGACCGCCCTAAATTCTTGGAGCCTTGGGGGTATTGCGAAAAGAGATGTCCATGGAACTAACAATAGTCTCGGAGAGTAACTTCTCAAGATACTCCGCATCAACGTCCCCAACAAGCTGCTGAACAACCTTCTTGGCTGATGCAGGGAGGTCAAGGGCTTGGATCAATTGTGGGTAGTCAGTGAATGATCCATGAACAGTACCTTTAATTGCAATCTCCTTCTTGGGCCCTCGAAGCTTGGTGTAGAACTTCTTCCAAGTTGTGTCCTCCTCACTGTGATTGGGACGACCGATGAGAAAGAACGCCTTGTCCAGCCCTTTACTGAGAGCTGGCTCAAAAATCTGACCGTCCAAATCCATTCCTCCGCGAATTCGGTTATCAGATAAGGAAGCCACAGCCGCGCTGGCACCACCAAGAGAATGGCCAAGAGCGACTATCTTCTTGGTATCGACTGATCCAGGGAGACCTTTCAGTGCCTTTCTTTGGAAAGAGGGCTGCAAGACGTTGGAAATGACGAATGAGATATCCTTGGCTCTCACCTAAAGAAAGAAACAGAGTTAGTGTGATTAACCAGATATTGTGCAAAGTATTCTACCTCAGTCAACTCTGTCAGAGCCTTCATGGTCTCAGGGATGTTGCCGCTCTTGATTATTTCTCCATTGGGAAATTCAACGATATCAGCATCATAAGGATGGTCAATCAAAACCACGATGTTTCCATAACTAGCAAGCGAACGAGCCATGTTACTGTAAAGAAGCCGAGAGTTGCCGGCGCCTGGCGAGAAGACGGCAAGAGGGAATGGTTTCTTGTTTTCACACCCCTTTTGCGAATCAGGTGTCTTGCAAACGGCATAGTTGAAAGCGGCAAAGGTTTCGTTGGAAAGACCCAGGCTCTGTGCCTGCTGCCCATAGAATTGGGCAACGGCGGGGGGCATGTAAGGGACGCTTTCCTCGGAACAGGTGGATGGAAGAATGGGCCAGAAGATGGAGGCGAGCACCTGTCTATGACCCTTCTTAGGGTCGTAAGGGTCGACCCGTCGGATGTCGGTCATGCCTTGAGAGCGGAGAGCAACGCCATATGGTCCGGTGGGATCAGGTAGGGTTATGGCATGTCCGATTCCCAGTAGGGACAGAAAAATGATAGAAAGATGCATAGTATAGTCGTGAAAAAGAGTGCGATTATATTCTTTGTCGAACGGAACTGCAAGGTTGTTCAAATGTGTGATAGTGTGGAATGATGATATAGAGAGAAAGCTTTCCTGGGAGACAAAGTTGTACTTATAACACGACGGATGAACAAGGCGTTTCAAAAAGAAGACAGAAACCACGTCGCAATAAAATGGGTATGTCCAAGCTCGCGAGAATTAATTCGTCAGCAGCACAGCCCTGTGTCGTCAAACTTTGTGGTTTCCCATGCTCCTTCTAGAAAATCAGCCCGACTATTCTGAGTTTAGTCAAGTTCGGGCGATGTAATTTCTGTACATTGTGGATGAGCCTCATTTACGAAGACAGCGGATCAGGGTAGACACCAAGCTTAAGTTCAGCTAGCCCGACTGTCGATGTCGTCATTGGTCAAGAAACCCCACACGACAGTAGCGTCGCTCAATTGTATCCATAAAGGGAATGGTGATCTGCACAGACCAGGTTCGCCCAATCCATACCACTTTTAGTATAAATCGACATTCATTTTATTTTCCCCTGTTGAATCATCACCGATCACACCGCATCCAACGACTTACAACACGAAACAACCATGAAAATGCCAGTCGGACCATTCGATGGGCGCAAGAAACGGTCAAGATGCATTGCATGCGCTAAAAGCCATCTCAAGGTTCGCGCAGACAGTTTATGACGCATTGCCTGTTTGGCCTAACCCTGCCTTGTAGTGTTCTGGAAACTCTCCGTGCAATAATTGCCGGAAGAAACATATTACATGCATATTCGAGATGCAAAAGCCGATGCAAATCTGCATCAATTATGCAGAATCTGGTAAGAAGATCGACGCTGCCCTGGATGTGCCTATTACCCAGAGTGGCCCGTCTTCTCAATTGGGTCTGAGTCTCTCAAATGATCACATTTACTATCTTTCCAACTACTTCAACACATTTTTTCAACGCAATATTGTCAATCCAAAGACAACTGGATTTATTGATGTGGTCAGTTTAATGAAAGATGAAGTCTCAGGTGGTTTTCTCCATCATGCTGTTCTTTCAATTGGGGCGATGCAAGCTGTCAAATTAAACTCGTCCGAAGGAATTGACCCGAGTAAGGCTTATGGCTTAGCTGTTGGTCATTACTCAAGATCGGTGAGAGGGTTAAGGCAGGCTCTTGATCAATTCCACCGACGACCTAGCTCTCTTCATTGTGTTTTATGGACAACACATCTTCTGGGACTTTTTGAGGTAAATGACATTTTGAGATCGTCTTTTTAATTGTTTCTAACTGGTACTCTTGAGCTTATGACCGATCCATCAGGAGCAGGTTGGGTGCAACATCTGGTCCATGGTACCTCCAAGGCTCTCGTTGCTGCAGGTCCAACGGTGTGTCAGTCAGTTCTTGGGCAACGATTTTTTGCAGAAATTCGCGTATTTGAAGCCTGCCGATCCATCATATTTAATGAACCTACGTTTCTCGCAAGTCCAGACTGGAGGCTTGTCGGAGAAGAGATTCAGAGTACAGGTCGAAATGACAATTGTGGTTTAAATGAACTTCTCAACATCGTTGTTTCCTGCTCAACACTTCGTGTCCGGTAAGCATTGCTGGATATATTAGAACACATATCTGACTAAAGCTAGTGTACATAACCTTCTCTACCCCCAAGAAGTTCAGACCCCAGACCGGCAGGGAACAGGTCAGGATATTGCCTGTGATATTGTTTCCGAGGGTTTTCATCTGAGGCAAGCTCTTATTGATTGGGATGCCAGTTTGGATTCCTCATTTTCCGATGGGACAAGTGACAACGTGGCGGCTAAGAGCTTTTCCTGTCTGACACAGGCATTCTTTTCAGCTACAAGCATTTATCTGTCCGGAATCTTTGACTACGAAATGCCATACTGGAAAGGTATGGGCATTGTGCCCCCTACCTTGAGCGAAGAGGAGATACAGAGGCACGTGAGTAACATCCTCGCAAGAACACATATGATTCTCGGTAACTCTCCGATCTCGCCATTGCTGGTGCTCTTTCCTTTGCGTGTTGCAGGGGCGCGGACTTGGCAACAGTGGCAGCAAGACCATATTATGCAGAGCCTCTTGGCCGTGGAGATGACATTTCCAGTTGCTGCTGCATTCAGGGCTGATCTACATGACTTATGGGCTCGAAGAGATCCTTTGATCTAGACTCAAGAGCGGCAGATAGTTGAAGTAAGAACAAATGAAACAAATATTGAAGGTTGTAGTCTGTGAACAATGACAGGGAATGAGTGATCATGGTACAAATCGGGCCGAGACTGTTTGTATATATTCCGTCAAAACTGAACATTGGAAGCGCCTTTTTATTGCAGATACAGGTTATGCATTAGGTTTGAACATGGGTATCAAATTCTAAGAGCAGAAATGCACGTTAACTATAGATAGGTGGGCTCCTGCATTCCGTAAGCGGTAAAGTTATGCCGGAAATCTCTACTGGTTGCGCAAGTATAAGCAAGTTTCCGAAACAGCTGTGCCAAGAACCTCAATTGGGCGAATTGGAAAGAGGCAATCGTCAATTATGCCTGGAAAACAAACTGCCGAAACAGTGTAAAAAGGAGCAATTTAACTAGCTAGCCGACATCAGAGCAGCAAAATTGGTGATAATTCAGGTGCTGTGTACCCTTCAAGTGGTCAGATCCTAGCGTAACTGAATGTAGAGTGATGGAACGCAGATGTTCTCGATGCAGATTCTTTCTTAATACTAATTGCTCGATCTACCGCACTGCATGACGTATCCAATTCTTCAAGTACAAATTTGCTGTCCTGTGATTTCTCTACAGCATATATCAACCTCATCCCGGCCACATGCTCGACAGGCCTTCTCAACAACAATCACGCACCATCTTTCCAGTATTTCTTTACAACATGAAGTCACGTATTACGAGACTAGTGTTGGAGGCTATCTTACCAATTGTGGTTTGGTCGCATATGACCACGGGAAGGGAGCGATACGGGGTCATTGGGTACGGCGTTACCATGTATGACCCTCCTTGTGCGTATAGATGTATCGATACTGTCAAGGTATGGCCACTGAATTGCGATGGAGACCATGGCGTGTTGTTTCCATACCCATTGCAAAGACGTTAAATCCTCCACACTTGAACGCGTCTGACAAATGGACATTATCGGGAGGAACAAGATCCAGCCTTCCCGTAAACAATCTTACCAGGTTGCTATAGCTATCGCCTACAAATCCCGTCCTACTGAGATTGTGGATTCTACGACAGTACTCAACAAAACATCTTTGGTTGACGAGGCAGTTTGGCTCAGTAACTTCAATGCGGACTATATCTTTGAGAAGATGGAAGTTGTAACCGAGAAATATGGGTAAGTCTCTGTTTGTCATTTACTTCACGTTTCTTGTCTAACCAGGAGACAGCATCATTCTGATGACAATATGTGTCATTATCCCCATCGCTTTTTCCATGCTTGAGTACTTCCCGCTCTCGCAACCCTTCGTTTCAAGGTTTCGTGCCACATTTGTCGACCCCCCTCTATTCGGTAAGAATCATGCTGTGCCAGCTCCCTTCTCTATACTCCCAATCCGACGGAGACTTTACGATGCATTCCTGGCTTCACATGTTATCCTCTCTCTTCTTGCCATGATTGGCTGCATATTGCACATGTTCTACCGTTATGAGTGGCAGTGGGGATACCAAACGTGGGTTTGGATCGCTTTTGTATTCTGGATTTTTGATCGTTTCCTGGCTAGACCACTTCGATTGATGCGAAACGGTGTTCAACAAGCTCAAATTACGCTCATCGACGACGATTATCTTCAAGTTACAGTTTCTCGTATCAGGGTCAAGGGTCACGTCTATGTCTACTTTCCCTCTCTGACGTGGCGTGTCTGGGAGAATCATCCATTCTTAGTGGCCGCTTATTCTTCCGGAAGGCGCCTACAGCCCGGTGTTGAGTTGCGAAATGGAAACAATGATGGAAACGAGGCTAAGCAAGATTAGACAGTGATAGACTTGGAGTTGCATAGAAGGGAGGCTGATTTCGCAGGCTTGGTAATCTTTGTTCGTCGTCACGGCGGACTGGCATCTCTACTGGCAGCTTCAAATTCGGATTCTGGTATACCTGTCATTATTGAGGGTTCATACGGCGGTCACGTATCTATTATTCCAAATTCTCTCCCAGAACCGAGTATCGAGTACCCAAATATCATCTTTATGGCTGGAGGTGTTGGTATCTCAGGTGTGCTGCCATGTCTCGATAATCCGCCAAGCTTAACGAATCTGGAGGGCAAAAGAAAACTTCTGTGGGGAGTGAGGACCGAACCTCTCGTTGAGACAGTTCGTAATGTTGTTCACAGAGTTACCGAAGATGCGGATGGCAGAGAAATTTGGAACGATTTCGAGGTAGCTATTACTGTTGCAAAGCGTTTCGACATCGATACCACGCTGCAGAAAGAATTCTGTGGTGTTATTGGAGGAACAAAAGTAGTCGTTTGTGGTCCTTCAGGAATGGCAGATAATGTCAGGATTTCTGCCGCAAGGCTTGGGAAGCAAGGGTTCGTCGTCAAACTGATGGAGGAGAGCTTTGCATGGTGAATGATAACGCGTTTTCATTGAGGTCATGCTGCTTTCATCGCGGGTTTTATCACAACGTCATAGTTAACGGAGCAAACGTACTGTTTGTTAGTCTGACTACCTTAATTGAACACGGATTAGTGGATAACAGGATTCGTGATCCTCTAAGATGGACCAATGAGTTCATGCAGTGAATTAATTAAATCAGCGACAGAGGTCTGGATGAGATGAGATTCTCTTGTTCTTGGCCGACATTTACATCATGGTATTTTTATAACATATTAAATCTCTAGTTTCGTTCTTGGAGATAGGTGGATGCAGCCACGCATGTTGAAACATAATGGAATAGCATGACCACTCAAGTGATTATCTCCATCATTTATGATTATGTTTACAATTGCATATTAAAGCAATAGAAGTACCTCATCCCATTTCTTGCTTAAACTCTAGACCAGAAGTTGTTCAAATAAGGGTCTCCATTGATAGTATCGACGGAAAGTAATAACAGTACGAGAAAGCCAGCTCAAATGACAAAAGAAACAACACGATCCAAACTACTAGTGTAAAGCAACTGCCTCATTTGCACCCATCCCATTCATTGCTGTCGACCATATGTCAAAGATACCTCGCTCTCTGTCTTACTCAATGTTTTGTCCAGGACTGGCATATAGCTCGATGGATGAATAACGTGAAAAATGGTAGTCACGATAGCCATGGGAATGGCATCGAGGGCGTATACATAGACCTCCGTCGACTGCAATTCAGCATTAGGCCCTTGAACATACTCCACCATGCGATAAATGGATCGAACCAGTATAAGTATGCAGGCAAAATAAATGGCCATCATGAATTTGTCCCAGTTGGGCGGTTGTACTAGTGAGTTCTTGGCAAATCTATAATGAAAGCACACTGTGACGACAACAAACATTGTGAAAAACACAAGCTGAACTATCAAGCCAGCGACTACCGCACCTTCAGTTGTGGTCAAACTGTGTTGGGTTGCATCCGACTTGTTGCTTTTTCCTTCGTCTGTAATATAGTTAAATTAGCATACAGTCGGTCACACTGAACTAGATTCATACCAAACGCCTGGAGCGTAATTGAAGTGATATCACCAAAGAGGAAGATTTTGGTCAACCATCTTGGCTTGATGAGTGCGTATTTGTCCCCTTCCAGATACTTGATAAAGCGACCCAAAAGCGTGTAAATCGTAGCGGAATAGCATGTCGGGCCGAGAAGCAGCAGGTGATCCTGAACCATACAGACACCAACCGTGTAATCGGGCGCTTCTTTCGCGCTGACAGCTCGACAAATGAAGGCCATGGATTCAACTGGTTAGTTCTCATTGTCAGCTTGCAAGCGGTTTGTTCAGGATATAAGAATTACTTACAGACACACCCAGCTAAAAACGGCAAAAAGAACCATACTCTTGTTGTGACAACTTGGTAAACATGGACATTTAGTGAAACAGTAAATATTATAAAAAATAAAATTGCAACAAGAAAAGAAGGATCGTAGTGAAAGTAGTTAGCCATGTTGACCACAAGTGTCCCATTTGAAAGGAAAACGGGATGAAACTGAATTAATGGGGAGACCTCAAAGCCTCAACAAGTGAATAGTAAATAGGAGGGAGAACCTCCCCCTTAGTGACTCCTTGATGAATCCTGCCAGAAGGACAATAGATTGGCTGCAGGTTGCGCTTAAAGTTCGTTTATCAGTACCCCAAAATAGTGCCAGTGATCAGCGCTTAGCCCCTTGACATAAGATACATATGAAACATCTTCATTACGTTCGTCAATACATGCAGACTGAACTCCCATCACAATGTCCCTTTCAATCAGGAAGTAAAGTCATTGGGCGTTAAAAGATGCTATGCGTATGCAGGTCTAGACATTGAGACAGATTAAACATTACTATATTTGCCTGTAATTTATATTGCAGAGCCCTTCTAAAGCTATGTAAAACACAAGAGACAAGGATAATTATAATCTACCTTGAGAGAAAAATGAGACATAACTATCATTATCACTTGTTGCTCTGTAGTAATTCGTTTAATATACGCGCGTTGTCGTCCATGAGAGATTACAACATTCCAGCAAAGCGCCAATCGTAATATTGATCTCTGTGTTGTGAGGCATCAGTGCTCAATAGGCGAAAGTCACTCTTCCCCGAGATAAGGATAGTCGCAAGTGATTTCAGACTCAGTGATCTTACCCCCACACTCTTCCTCCACGTTCGTTATGTTGGTGGTGTTACAATTTGTATTAAATTTGAAGTTACTACATCTGTTACTCGAAAGATGTCAAGGATACAATATCACTATCACAGTCGTGGATAATTCTGGATAGAACGTTTTCCAGAGGACTTACGACATTAACCTCTACTTCCACACATTTCCGAAGCCTTGAACGATTATTTATATAACTTCAGAATCATTAGTTGTGATATATATAACGTCTTGTTATTTCTCGGGATGTCAGCACTATATGCCCCAGCCTCCTCAGTTTATCCCAGGGCACCTATAGTAATATATTCACGGATGGGTGATGGTTTTTTTTTTTTTTGAAAGGGTTGCGCTATCGTTTCTTTCTTTTCTTTCTGGCCGGCGTTCGGATGGAATACACGACATTGAAGAATAATTGGCCTGACGATATTGGTCAGTTAGATATACCTACAGTATATTCAATTATCACATCGTTCCTGACTACAAGTGTGCACTGGAGAATGATGTATTTGTCTCTTATCACTGTAAATATCTTTGTTGAGATTGTTTTGAACATTTCGCGAAAGAGGTGATTAATTGAAAAGCTAGTATTTGCAGCGCGACAATGCTTCATATTTAAGAAGAATGCATTTAAATCCACAACTTCATAGATGAGATTAGGACTACTGACGCCCCACGCGACCTAGCCTGTGGCGCTTGCTGTTCGTTGCACGTGACTGATTTCTAACCTTATCGCGCTGTGAAACACCACCAAGTTGAGCTCAGGTTCCAGCAGAAGAGAATAAGCTGAGATAACAAATGACATTCCAAGTAGCTCAAGCATGATTGGAAGTATATTAGATGTCAGAATATATACATTATTGTTTCTGAAAACCCACCCAACGGAGGGATTCGCATAGCGTATTTTGCAGTCTCAGTAGCTTTAGGAACTGCTATCAGAAGTATAATTGACTAGCAATGTATGTGTCGCTGTTATACTTTAATATCCACAAACACAAGAGCAGCCATTAACCCTTGCCACTTCCTCCCTATGAGTAGGCTATTATACGCGCGTATAATATACGTCGCAGAAAACCCTATATGCACTTATAGTTTAAATTTACCGTGCATTACTGGGTGGATATTTATCGTAGACTTCCGTCATTCTATTGAGATGTATCCAAATATGTTGCCCTCTCCTCTAAACCCATCGATTACAGCCTTTATATTATCAAGTCTTTCATTCTGACTCATAACTCTGACTGTGGAAAGCCACGGCAAGTGAGAGGGTTTGAATTTAAATTCAAAGTTAAAACAACTCCCACGAAAGTATATGTGTCTATATGCATGGGAATTTACGACCAACTACCGTACTTTGGGGTACAGTTTTCAAGTTGTTTTACACTTCTGAACTTACTTTTTCCAGGTGTTATTACCTGATTTAAGTAAGTGATGTTCCCCCACTGCCGAGAATACGGCAATCTCAGCTAGCCACAAGATTGGCACATCTCTGATTGCATTTCTCGCTAGGCAATAATTCACATACAAGCAAGATAAGAAATGTCGTGGTAAAGCCTCTGTGTGGATGGTCGTCTGGAGATCCTCTGTCAGGTCGCACAAGATACACCCCATGACAAGGGATGTCTTACGAGATATGCTTGCGTCTCCAAAGAATGACAACCTCTCTTTGAACGTGTCTCTATGCAAAAATTAAAAGTCAGAGTACGCGATCTAAATCAATTTCGCAGCATCTTTCATATCCAACGGCATCTCAAATACCTTCAGTATATCGGCCTTACATTAGACCTCTCGTTATACAGTGATGAACTTCCCCGAGGTTCTAAACCAGAACGGATCTTTGCACGAATGATGGTCATTTCGAGTATGATAGTATTGAAGACGAAAGAACAACTTTCATCGGACGCTCAAAACCAATCACGTGGTCTTATTAGCAGTCTAAGTATTCTCTTTCAACAACCAACATCTTAGTCACCGAAGGAATATTACCCATATTTACTCGAACTGGAACTTGTTTCCAACTCCAGAAGCTATTGGCAGAAAACCTCGAAAGGAGATAGACAGCGGTCTAAGCCAATGACTATCAACGCAAATAATGTGTTTCAACAGGTCTATGGGCAGCTACACCAGTCACTTGTGGTAACCGATCGTGGACTGAATAGAATTATGGATAATGCTAAGCTAGACTTCCACTTCTCCCTGGGACTACACCTTCAACTATGGAATAAATCTGCCTTCATGGTACGGGATATCTCACGTCTGTCCATTCTACGAAGCAGTACTCGTCGCTTCCATCCCGAGACCATTAGCCAAGTGCTGAATTCTCTCCCTTTTTTAAAGTCGTTCAAATGAGAGGTCTTACCACATGCACACTGGAAAACTCGTCAGTTCTTCGTTGAAGATTTAGAAATGGCTATACATAAGTGGTCTTCCTCTTTGGAAACCATTGAGATCACACAAATGGACCCATCAATCACCCACCGCCACTGGCGGCCAAGACCCAATCCTCATATCTCGTCATTTACATCGATCCCTACTCTACGATGTAAGAAGACGAGAACGACAGCTTCTTAATTGAATGTCGCCTTGTGTCCCTACCTTGGACCTTGCTCTGGGTGAAAAAGGGTCAGACAGCGACCAAACAATGGACAACTGATGTCATAGGGATCTCTCTTGTGTAATTTCACCTGCAAGAAGCCTGTTTTCCCCACAGATGCTTCCGTAACCATACAAACCTTCACCATCATTGGGTGTTAGGGAGTTACAGCGTAGAGAGACTGTCAGCACCAAAGCAATGATCTAGTCACGCCGCAGTAATTTACTACCCAGTTTTATAATTTATAACCCGCAATAATCTATAATACGATTATCCGATTAACAGTTAATAATTGACAATTAATAATAATAATAATAAGAAATAAAAACGCTGACTTATCCTTTTCTTCCTGTGTGCTAGCTTGTACTGCAAAGGTCACGTAGTAAGTACACTAGCATTGGTTGCGAATTACAAAACTGGGTTGCAAATTACGGTGGCGATCTAGGCAGTTGGATAGTTAGATGTCTACAACTTATCGCTTCCTTTGTACAGTAGTATGCCATAGGCCGGAGAACCCCAAGCTCTGTGATTCTCGATCTTTAGGCACCCAAACTAAACCTAAACAAGAACCTCTATGGTAAATTGCGCCGCCTTGATCATTTAGGGATCACCTTATCGATCCATCATAGCCGAACCTCGGACAGAAGAGCCCGCTGATAACCCTTGAGCACAAAGCCGTGGCAGACTCTCCAATTGGTGCGACTAATGAATTAAGGCTATTAATTCTCATAATAAGGCCTTCTGCTGCAGGTGGACATTGGCTTAGGTATAAAGAGATCAACCAGCATTAACTTAAAATTGCATGTTAGCCTCACTGGATGAATGGAAGCGTATTAGTTTGCGAGAAAATAACATATAAGGAGAAACAACAGATAAGGTGCAAGAAGGGGCATGCAACAAATCAGAAGAAAGAATCCCTATTATTAATATAAAATATAATAAACATTAGTCTATATTATTGCAATCTCTTATATAGCGTAGATATGTTCTCCATCTTATCACTTCTCTCTTTTTTTAAGAGCAGTGTAATTATATTATAATTCGTTGAAATATAATTGTTGGCTGCATGGTCGCGCCAGGCATGGATGAAAAGGGAAGCAGCTGCATATTTTCAACCCCCGCAGATAACAAAGCAACAGGCCGCGACTAACAGAACCTCTGCACTCATCCCTAAATTGTACTGTATAACCCTTGGAAGCTATTAACCCTATCTTTAATTGAGCGCTGGGCAGGGCGGGGTAATAAGACATGTCGGAATAAGGGAGGCAGCAAGCTCGATTATAAATCGTGTGCCACTTGGCACCAGTTAACTATGATTTGACAAGATGTTAAGACTCAATAGTGGGGGGCTGAAAGGTCGAAATAAACAGCTCCCGCGCCACCTCTCAATATTACATTCCTCTAATTTTTATCGGTCCGCCCCGGTGTATAGCCAGTTAAAAGGCTATGCTAGCTCCATCTCGTAGTAATGGAAAATCCTGCTGTTATTGCCATAGTTGCTATAAACCGAGTGACGGGCCCAATTCATCTTGGCCAATGAATCGAACGAATTGCCAATCACGGCTTAAATAATATAGGAACCCCGCCGTATCGCCGTATCAAAGCTAATAGGGCAATAAGCTAAATTTTAGATTTGCGGGGAGCTGATTTAAGTTAGTCCCTGCAAGGCATGGCCTGGAGCTAGTGACATGAACTGACAACTGAGCGGTGGGGTTAGAAAAATAAGAGCAGCGTGTCCGCGATTACTTTTAGTTAATGCGCGGATGCGCTGTTGCGATCAGAGTCTTACTGAGAATGATCTACATGGTAATTCATATTGCCAAGATCCATAAGGCTGCAAGGACGGAAAAAGGGCATTTGGTCAGACCAACGCTCTGGCCGCCGTCGAACATTCGACAGTCGGGAATAAGTCCTGCAAACTTACAGCTCGCCACCTTAGCTCGACGGTGGCAATGTGCAGTTTAGCTGGCAACGTGTATGATTGCTTTTAGTGTGGTCGCAGGTTTAAATATCAGGCAGCAATGGGCTGACGAGACTTTTAGGCATCATTGCATGATAAACGGAGTGGCTGACTGGCTTTGCCGGCACTGCGCCTGGCTTGATTACGTGGTAATTGTGATTGTCCCTTCTCCAAAATTCCATTCTTATGTGTTCTACAATACGACAATCATCCACGACCCATTTTCTAAATTGAATACCTTCTCCGATTTATCTTGACACCACTTTCAGATGTCGAAACGAAAAAGGATTGACTCGAGCGTAGGTATCGAGGATTCAAGTGCTAAAGGAAAAGCACAATTATTGTCAAGTGATCTTTGTTTACGTTGCAGCCACGTGCCATGGTCGTCGATAAGCCATGAATCAAGTATGGGCAAGTCAATTTTGAATGTTCGAGGATCGCATGAAACGCTTCAGGCATCCTTTTGTCAAGTTTGTCAACTGTTCGCTCTGCTGAAAACCTCCGATTTGGACAACTCAAGCTCCTCCCTTCGCGCAATCTCTGCGAAATGGCTATTCACGAAGCCGACTTCGAACTATCCTCATCTAAAAGACACAACCTTATTATCAATTGACTCGGAAAGCAACTTGCGAAGGTTCAAAAAAAGGAAACAGATGGGCCATGTTATAGCAGTTGAGCCATTGTCTACACCAGCTACTTTCCTTCAACCTCGGCGCGTTAATCTTGAGAAGATTGATTTTCCTTTAATCAGGTTTTGGATGAACCAGTGCAACAACAAACACCCAGCATCCTGCAAACCAGAAAACATCACTTACCCTCAAGACTTCAAAGTCATAGACTGCAAGGGCAAGGCAATTATATCACCGAAGGTTAATTGCTCGTACGTGGCACTATCATACGTCTGGGGGAACACATGCCGTTCTAATCTTAATCACCCAAACACATGGCCGCAGGTTGTCAAGGACAGTATAGCTGTGGCTTTAAAGCTGGAATGCGACTACTTATGGGTCGACCGACTTGTATGTTTAGTTCATCTTACTTGACACCTACTGATGATACTCAGTGCATTGACCAAGACGATCCTTTAAAACACGAACAGATGAAACGAATGGATGAGATATATTCTGGAGCTAAGTTCACGATAATCGATGCCACCGGAGATGACCGTACCTATGGATTGTCCGGTGTGACTTTACCTCGCCAACCAAATCCCCCACGGGCTTATGTTGAAATTGATGGTGTAAAACTTACATACCTCCATACACCTCCAGCAGACAAGATTCGGAGCAGTCGATGGGCTTCTAGGGGCTGGACGTATCAGGAAGGGATCTTGTCACGCAGAAGAATCTTTTTCACGAGTGATCAAGTCATGTTTCAGTGCAATAATATGACCTGTCTCGAAGCTTTTGCTATTCCTATGGATGCCTTACAAAAGTCCAATGGCAACGGAGGACATCGACAGCCACACCTCAACGATATTGAGCCTATATTAATGGCCAAGCAGAATCTCGATGGGCATCTAATGGCTTATAGCAAGAGGGACCTTAAATACGACGAGGATTCTCTTAATGCTTTTCTGGGGATCTTAAGTCACTACAGTGGACCAGGAAAACCATATGTTCACTTTCTAGGAAGCCCAATTCATCGCGTGAAAGGGAGCATGATTAACGCCTGGTATCATCTCGAACCTGCGAAAAGGAGGGATCAGTTCCCCAGTTGGTCATGGACAGGTTGGAAAGGAGAAGTGAAGTTGACCAGCCGCAGCAATCCGGATCATGAAATTGGATTAATGACCGAAAACGGAGACCGGACATCACTCGAAAAATATATAAAAGCTTGTGACGACAACCAAACCCTACCTATGAAACATGTCATTGAACTGACGGGAAAGATGACAACATTCTCGTTCAAACACATTAAATGGAGTTTAGAACCGAATGTTAGAAATAATGGACTTGACGAGCCCAAGCTTCAAGATGGCCCTTGGGCTATTCTACCGCTTACAACAGATATAAGGTGCTACTCGTTTTTGTACCTTGATGACGCGTCGCTGGCGGCAGAAAGCCAGTTTGAACTTCCCGTCATTGTCTTGGAGCTTGGAACTGAGTCAAAGAACCATAACATTATCATCCTAGTTCTGAAAGAAAGCAGCGACCACTACGAACGAGTTGGACTCATAACTATACGACACGCATTTCAGATTACAAACGAGGATGATCGTTGGAAAGGACAGCCCAAACAAGTTATATATCTAGACAAGGCGGAACGATGGTTGCCGCGGGCACCAATATCTGAACCATTAACGCATATTTGGCTCCAAGGGACTGAGAAGAAGACGATTCTGGTAAAATAAGTCTCTTTAGTGTAAGATAAGCTCTTAAATAGTAATAGAGATATAGGGTTAGTTATTAGACACTATGTGTATTTAGCTTATTGATTGATATTAGTATGATGTGTTTAATAAGCGAGTATTACAGAGAAGCGAGTATCTTAAAAATCTAAACCCTCTTTATTATCTAGATAATAAAATTACTATAATCTATCTAATTAATTAAAACTACTTACTATACTTATCTCCAGAGGCCTAAATATCCTCTTAATATATTCTAGCATTATACCTAGCCTTACTATATATACTATAATACTAAATACCTAGTCTAATTAACCTTCCTTAACTATTATTTCTTAATAATTCTATTACTACTTATATATTTATATTTATTTAATTAATTAACTATAATACTTCTTATATAGTTATTACTTTTCCTTTCTATAGTCTAGTCCTTTTTACTCTTTAATAGTAACTTAATATTATATTTATTTCTTTAAGATTTTAAATTTAATCTCTTAATAAGATAACCTTATATATAACTATTAATATTACCTTTATATTTAACTTTATAGCCTTAATTATTAAATCTAAGGAGCTACTCTTATATAATATAATTTATCTAATAAGGTATTTAAATTAAGATTAAGCCTCTTTTACTATCTTTAAGGTCTTTAAAATCTATAGGCTAGATAATTAATTTATCTCCCTGGGAGGTATTAAAGTCTATAGCTATATATTAAGCTTAAAAATAATAGTTTCTAGGTTAAGAGGATAAACCCTAGCTCCTCTAAATGCTCTATAGATATTACTTTTTATAAAAGTAACTTAAAAAGTAATATAAAAGGCCAGAAAGAACTTAATCTTAAAAATATAATGTTATAACCCTAGCGGTTATGTCACGTGTACCCTATAATTTTCATGCAACTTAACCTACTTAATTGTAAACTCGCTTCCTGAGTTTATTAAACTAATTATAAGTAGATTATACTTATATAGGATTACTATACTCTAAGAGCACCTATAATCCAGGATTACTATAATCCCTAGGCCTAAGTAATCCCTTAAGGATCTCTTAAGTATATATATATTCACTTAGTATTAGTTAGTGCATTTAGCTTAATAGCTATTAATAAAATATCTTTGCCTAAATATGCCTTACCTACTCTATTTACTATTAAGAGATATAATACTTTACTATACTTAGTATTATAATGCCTTATATATCTGCTAATATAAACCTAGTATAGACTAGTTTATCCCTTAGGAATTATAATTATTATATATTAATAGCTCTTATTTAGATTATACTATATTAATACTAAGTAATACTTATATAATAGTGCTTATTACCTTAAACTGCCTTAATACCGCTAAAACTAAATAGCTATTAATTGCTAAAACCCTTTAGTATTTATCCTAGGAATTCCTTAATATGCCTATAAATATAGATAATAATAATAAAGGAGAAATTATTCCTCCCCTTATTTATTTATAAAACTATAAGGAAGAAGTTAAGAAACTTTAATAGAGACTTAAATATCTAGGAAAGCAGTATAATAAACTCTTAAATAATAATAAAAGGAATATAGTTATAGCCTAGAATAAAATTAAAAACGTTAAAGGCAAGGTCTATAACCTTATAATAATCGCTAAAGGCCTTAGAAAATAAGCCAAGGATACTTAATGCCTATATAGGGAGTATATTAAGTATACTACTGCGCTTATTATAATAGGAAAGGACCCCAGAGAAATCCTATAACTTAGGTAACTTAATTCTTATAATAGAAATATTAAATACCTTTAAAGATTCCTTATAGCTCTTTATAGTTATTAACTATACTATCTTATTTAATTTAGCTTAAATAAAATAAAAACTTAATATATTATAAGCCTCCTTAAAGGCAAGGCATAAAGACTTATTAAGCTAATTATTTAAGACTATATTAATAACCCTAGGTATAAATAAAAAGATATAACTAGATTAGTCTATAATAAGTATAAGAATATTAAATAAGAACTTATTTATATATTTAAACTAATAAATAAAAAATAAGAAGTAAAAAGTAAGATTTAAAGCCTATAATAAATAGGATTTATAGTAATATATTTATTAGAGTATTACTATTAAGTATTTAAGCTTAATTAGAATAAATTAGCCTATATAGACTAAGTATACTTAGGATTAAAGGATAAAATTAAGGATATACTAGTTAATATTAGACTTAAGCTAAAGATATTAAATAACCTTGCTAATATTATAGTAAATATTAATACCTACTAATATAAATATAAAAAAGAAAAATAAGTAACTAGAAATAAAAACTTATATTAACCTAATTAAAATAAGAATTAATAAGGTAAAAATAATATTAACTAACGAAGGCTATAATAAACTAATACCTTTTATAGCACTTAAGCTAGACTAATAACTATTAGAACCACTAGGTTAAATAAACTACCCCTAATATATTAAAACTATAGCAAGAAAGGCTATAGAGAAGCAGACTGCTATAACCCTATAAAAACTAATTAAAAGTATAAACTAATACTAGAAGGTAAGAATATGCAATAAACTAACTTATAGGAAAAAGAACTGCAAATAGCAATATAAACTACTAAGAGAATTGCTATAACTCGCTTAAGATATAATATAGAGTTATATAGAAATCTGGCAGACTAAGTAAAAGCCTAAGAATAGTTAGAAAACTAATAAGAATAAGAGGAGGAAAGAAATAAGAAAATTAGGAAATAAGAAGAAAGAAAGAAAAAATAAAACCGGGAATATTAATTACTAAAAGAATAAAGACTTAATCTCTAAGAAGAAGTAATTAATATAATAAAACCTTAAGTTTTATAAATATAAAAATAAACTTAAAAGGGATAAATAATATTAGTAATAATAATAACCTATACTGGAATTAATATATCTCGCTAATAAAGATAGAACTATTATAGTAATATATAAGGAATTTATCCCTAAATAGGATAAACTACTTATATTTAATTAACTTTGCAATAAAATCCTTATTAAAACTATATAAAGATAACCTAGTAAATACTATATAGATCCTAACTTTATTAATATAAAATAAATAATTAAGAAATAATAACTTAAGAAACTATTAAAAAAACTAAAGGAAACTAAGAGGAATATTTAAATTAATAACCTATAGTTTAATAATATTAAACCTTAGTATAATAAGAAAAGAACTTAATATTAGGTTAATAAATAATAAATATACTAGGAATTAATATAAAAAGTTATAAAAATAAAATAAGATAATAATATTTATATTTAAGTAATAATAGAAAAGGAATCTAATAGTAATAAAACCCTTATAGAATAATTAATAGTAATAATAGAATTATATAAATACCCTATAGACCTAGACTATACTAAGATCTCTTAGATATCCTATATTATATACTATTATCCTATCTATAAGGAAAATAAGATTATTTATAATTACTTCCTAGTATTAATAAAAAAATATATATACTAGAAAGTATATATCCCTATTAATATTATTAGATATTATATCTATAAATAATATAATAATAAGGTAATATATTTAAAATCTAACTAGAATATTAAATACTATGCCCTTAAATATATTAAGAATAGGAGAAAGATTAACTAATAGAGATAGACAGTCTATATAGCTAAAGAACTAGATAATAAATGCCTAATCTAGGAATAGAGATAAAACAGAGAAGGAAACCTTAATAGAGGAGCTACTTTAAAGCCTTATAAATTATAATACCTTAAATAAAATAATATAAAAGATAACTAACTTAAGGAAGAATATTAAAATAAGTTAAAATAAGAATAAGAATGCCTTAATAATACTTTATATTATAATAAAGAATATAACCTATATTACCTAAGTTAACTAGGAAAAGATAATAGCCTGCTATACTACTAGAGCTATAGTATAGTAAAATAAGTAAAAGGGATATAATATTACCTTTAAGAGCTCTATAGATAATTAAAAAGGGTTAATAAACCTGCCTAAAGCTAGAAGTATAAATCAAGGGAATATAACTAATTACTCTTATAAATAGCAGAGCTAATATTAATATAATTAACCTTTATATAATTAATTACTTATAGCTACTATAGTAAAATAAGACTTATCTTTATATAATAAGGAACTTAAAAAGATAACTATTTAACTATAAAAGAGAATTAATTACCTAAGAGATTAATTACTTAAAGGTATTTATTAGAATATAAAGATAAAATATTAACCTTAATATCCTACCTATACTAGGATATAACTTAATACTAGGATACCTATAGCTATAATACTATAACCCCTGCATTAATTAGAGAACTGGCTAGATTAGTAATATTACTAATCTCTTTAATAATAACTAGAATAACTTAGAAATAAATAAAAAAATAAGATCTTAAACTTTAATTAACCCTTATAGTAAAGTATAATATAAACTAAGTATTTATTTACCTCTAAATAGAGTATAATATAAATAAATATAAAGCAGGGTAAAGAGAGTTAAAAAGACTATTATAATATTTAAGAACTAGCTATAAAGCCTAAATAAATAATTAGAAAAGAAACTATAAATAAAAGATAAACTTAAGAATATACTATAGGAAAATTATATCTATAATAAACTCTTTAAAGAGGAATTTAATACTAAGGTATTATAGTATTTACGCTAGGATTATAAAATTTATCTTATATTAAATAAGCTATTATTCTAGAAGATTTATAATCTTAATAAGATAGAATTTATTACTCTTAAAGAATATCTAGAAGAGGAATTATAAAAGGGCAATATATAGGAATTAATATCCTTAGCTGGATTTCCTATAATATTTATACTTAAGAAAAATAGAAAACTATAACTAGTTATAGATTATAGATAATTAAATGCCTTTACTATTAAGGACTAGATATTACTTCTGCTTATTATAGAATTAAAAGACTGCCTATAGGGAAAATAAGTTTTTATTACCCTTAACCTTAAAGGAGCCTATAACCTTATCTGCATTA